ATGTGCTAGTGGCGAGTCGCCCTAGGCCATCTCATAGGCTACTCAGCGCATTGATCGCACTAGGAGCAATAGTCTGGCTGCTATACGCCGGCCAATTGAAGCGCAATGGCTAAATCGCTGGCTCCAGCGAGTGTCGCTTATTCCGGCTATTGTCTTGTCGTGTCCGTCCTGCGAACAAGGCTATTATCTCTAGATCGACAGTCAGCTCTCCTCATTTTTCTGTCGGGAATGCTAAGCTTACCTACTATCTCCAGCACACGAACACTGCCCTCAGAGGACCGAATCTCGGTCTCGTTGGGCCTCAATTTCGCTTGGCTGCTTGGCGGTACAATGCGACCTGCTCACATCTTATCACCCCGCAACAGGGTTCTCGTCGTGCCAACCGCATCCAGCTCGCATAAGCATCTCAACGAACGCCGGCCACGGTGACTGCACTGCCGTTATCAGCACGCAACAGAGCTGGACCTGCATGAGGATATCCACTATCCAGCTAGGATGCTCCCTTCTCACCACCCCTGATCCATGGCGGGTTGCGCCGTCTACGAATGACGGCGGTCAGCAAACACGAGTCGGGGGTCGTGGGGGGAAGAGACGCCGAGGCGCAGGATTCTCTGGCGCAGGGGGAAGCGCACCCGGCTGGCTCGGAGGGTTCGCCTGACAGTATCATGGGATTTCCTCGGGCCAGATTGACGGCGGGAGGCTGATGGTCTCGATCGAAGAATGGCTTTGTGTGCCCGGCTGAGGAACTCAATCTCACAGCATAGGGGTCCCCTTGCGAAGCTATAAAGGCGACCCCTCGCTGGTTGTCTGCCTCAGGTCCAACCATATTTTTTACACACCTGATTATTGATTCGTTACATACTTGCTTCCCAACATGCAGTCATTCATCCCGCAGATGCTCCCCCCGGCTGACCTGAAGCTGGCCATCCCCCCTTCACTGGGATATACCCTCAAAGCCCCCTCCCGTCTGCCTCCTACCCCTCCTTCGTCTACTTCCAGTCTTCCAACCAGCGAGCTTGAGCCCGAGGTTGCTGTCAGCACCAGCCGGAATATTCTGGAGTCTTTTCCTGAATACGAGACGACTGCTTCATTCGACCGGCTGCGTGCAACCGAGTACAGCTACCTCGACGAGAACAACCATGTCTACCTGGACTACACTGGGGCTGGGCTAGCTGCCAAAGCGCAGTACCAAGCACATCAGGCACGACTCAGCGTGGACCTGTTCAGCAACCCGCACTCCGCCAACCCGACCAGCGAAGCTTCGACTAAGCTCGTGGAACAAGCCCGCGCCGATGTGCTGCGCTTCCTGAACGCGTCCCCAGATACCTACACCGTGATCATTACAGCAAACGCCACCGGGGCCGCCCGACTGATCGGGGAGTCCTACCCTTTCGGCCGCAACTCGACTTTCCTCCTCACCGCTGACAACCACAACTCGGTGAATGGCATCCGAGAGTACGCCCGTCGCCGACACGCGCGCACGGTCTACCTCCCGCTCCAGACCCCGTCGCTGCGCGTCGATCCCGATGCCCTAGCATCTGCACTCACACCAACCACATGGCCCTGGACTCGTCGATCTTCAGATGCGAAGGCTCGTCCGAAGAAACGCAAAGGTCTTTTCGCCTATCCGGCTCAGAGCAACTTTAGCGGCGTCCGCCACCCACTCGAGTGGATCACGACGGCCCAGCACGCCGGCTATGACGTTCTGCTCGATGCAGCAGCGTACCTTCCCACCAACCGACTAGATCTTTCCCCGGCCAACCCGCAACCGGACTTCATTCTAATGAGCTGGTACAAGGTCTTTGGCTTCCCGACAGGTCTGGGATGCCTGGTCGCCCGCAAGGACGCCCTCGCCCGCCTCTCCCGGCCGTGGTTCGCCGGGGGGACCGTGCAAGCCGTGCTCACTGGCGTGCACTGGCACAGTCTGACCACGACAGAGGGGGCGTTCGAGGACGGCACAGTGAACTTCTTGGCGATCCCCGAGATCTCGGTCGGGTTGAAGTGGATCGAATCTTTGGGCATGGAGAACATCCGCACCCGGGTCCGCTGCCTGACGGGATACTGTCTGGCGGGGCTGCAGGCGCTGCGACACAGCGACGGCTCGCCGATGGTGAAGATCTACGGACCCGCGCCTGACCCAAACAGCCCCGGCGTCGATCCCGGCGGCGACCGCGGCGGCACGATCGCCTTCAACTTCCTGGATCGAACCGGGAAGATCGTCGACGAGCGCATCGTCGCGACGGAGTCCGCCGCGGCGGGCATCTCGCTGCGCACGGGGTGTTTCTGTAACCCCGGCGCGGCGGAGCACGCCTTTGGGATCACGAAGCCCTTGCTCCGGAGCCTGCGGCGACGGTTCAGGGACACGCTGACGGTGGAGGAGTATATCCAGCTGCTGGGGCTGCCGTCGGGCGGGGCGGTGCGGGTGTCGTTCGGGCTGGTGTCGAACGTGAGCGATGTGGAGCGGTTCTTGGGGTGGGCGGAGGGGATGTATCGGGATCGGGTGACGGGGACGGAGGGGCTGGTGGCGAGGACGGAGTGTTAGCTTGGTGTATAGGATGGGGGAGCGCATGCTTGGTGTGGATCTGTTTTCACTAGTCGGGTTAGATTTTATATGATCTTGATAGTGTAACCTACAATACTACAAAACAATGATGCCATATCGCCCGCCCAGAAACCCAGATCCTGGTACTTGACTCCTAATCCCTCAATCCTGATTTCCAATCCCGCATTCCTGACGATGTTATTGGTGGTGTGGCATGTCGCCACATAATTGCTTTTTCGGCAGCAATAGTCCCATCCTTCGTTCGGCCTCGTAGTAAGTCAGTGTTCAGCCCCGCAGTCCACTCCGTACCGTACCTCCCAGGAAGATCCGATCGATCGACCTGACCTGTCCCCACTGCACCATCACCATCCACCCATCCACATATCCCAGTGCGTACTCCGTACTTACTCGGTACTTGTAGCTAGATGAAAATCTGGTTAGCTCGACAACCCACCCCCCGGCCCTTGACCCTTGAGCCCTTTTTTGGGTGGTTGCTTTTGCGGCTGAGTTGAGATTCTCTCAATTCAAGTATTGGTGCACGGATGGATGGACTACTCCGATCATCGCGAATGAGAGAGGGCGGGCACAATACTATACCTAAGTTAGCGATAGTCTCGTCTGGACGGGTAATACAAGAAGAATGGGATTGTTTGGTGTGGTTTGGTTCGATGCGTGGAGGGTTCTAGCCTTGCGCTAGTGGATACTACTATTCTATAGGGTACTGGATTATAGTATACCTATAGTATTGAAGCGTACCTAAGATAGGTGGAGGTGGGTTGTCGATCTCGCCTCGTCTGTATCTGGCGGGAGGCTCGTGTTCTGGACTTACCTTTTTTCGATTGGATGGGTGCTGGGGTGGTCTGGGTTGGGTTGTTGTGGAGCGATTACTTGGTTCTAGATGGTTTGAGGTTTGAGTGTTGGGTTGTGGTACTGTATGAGGCTCGTGCTCGTGGGATGGGGTTGGGATTTTCTCTGGTGGTGGTGGTGGTGGTGGATTGGGTTCCGGATACGGGAGGGCTGGATGGGGCTGTTTCATGTTTTCGGCAGGGGGGGGGGGGGTGATTGGGCTGGTATTGTGGTAAAGTTGGGTAGGGATGTATTGATTCTGGGCTCTTTTGTGCAGGTACATGTAGGTACTGTACTAATCTAGTTTATAGATCTTACTAGGGGTGATCCTGCAGGGTAGGGTGCTATTGTTTAGGATAGTTATGAGGTGAGAACATGGTCGATAGTACATTAGACACTGGGTGGATGTTACTGCTTGTTAATAGGCGATGAATGTATAGGTAGAACTCTTGCAGATCGAGAGTGTATAGTACTATCGTATATAGGTTATAGTATATGCTGCTATGCAGATAGTGGAGAGGTGCGCGCTAGTGACGTAGTGATTTGCTAAAGCTAGATCGAAATGAGGCTGCTAGCGGAATCCATATCTGAATTGGTGTTGTATTCTGGGTAGTTTGATAGCCACGATGACCGATATCTTCCAAGGACCAACCGAGAAGCTACCAGACACAGAGGAAAGAAAAGTGGAGGCTGAGCAGCATTGAGCTGAGGACAGGACTGAAAAGTGAGGGCTGAGGCTGAGGCTGAGGTGGAGCTGACGCTCGCGGACTAGCCCGGCGCCCTCACCCTCGTATTGGTGTAGCAGCAGTGGGGGCAAAGCCTCCGCCACGCGACGCCCGCGGCTGCAGTGCCACGGATGAGCAACTGCCACATGGGGGATTACCTGTACCTTCATCCTTACCCTGGCTGCCTGCTTGTGCTGGGTGAGATCCATCCTGGTGATTCTATGGGTAAGACTGTCTAATGAGCGATTAGCGTCTACTCAATGGGTTTGATATCGCCAGGATGATTTAGATGGATTTTCCGCGTAGAACTTGACTACTGCACTGGACTTGGGGTGTCTGATTTTTGCGCTATCGATTTTGGGCCTTGTTCTGTGCATACTTCGCAACAAGTATGCTTGCTGCCTATCCATGATTTTCAGGGTTGTGGGTGTATGCCTGAACGGATTCTGAGATCTGTCCCCAAAATGCACATTCCGGAGTTGATGGAACAGAATGAGGCAGTCCTCAGCTCGACTTTCCCGCCTTTGTCGATTGCATCATTGCTTGATAGACCATCTCGAGCACTCATCCCACAGCGATGTCAGTGAAGTGTTCCATCTCGCTCTGGGGTGGAAATTCCATGTTCATCATACTCTTTCTCCTGCCTGCAAGTCTTCGCTAGCCAATATCGTAGAGGCCGTCTAGACCACAGTCAGCTAATCGCATCCCGCCTGCTGTACAACACCCGAATAACTTCAGCGAAGCCAGAACACACTAACCCGCGACAACAGAGCATCCATACACCTCCCGCGAAGTAAAGTCACAAAACTGCACGCTCAGTCCAGTCAATTCCACTAACCACCACTCCTACCCCAGCCCCAATCCCATCCAGCGCTACCACAACCCCCTCAATCAAAATGCGAAGCAACATGATACGCGACAGCCGCCTCATCCCCTTCAAAAACCCCACAGACCGGACAAGTCACCGTCGGTGCTGCCGCCGCAACCGCCGCCGCATCCCCATCCAGCCCCCCTCCACCAGCAACCTCCCCCCTCCCACCCCGTCGCTTCTGCCGCGACGGCTGGGTGATATACGCATCCAGCCCGATATTCTGCGGCGGCTCGTCCGCCTCTCCCCGCCTGTCCCGGGGAGCTCTTCCCCGGGAGAATTCAGCTGCAGCAGCAGGGTCTGAAGACTGCCCCCCCGCGCTCGTGCTCATGGACTGCACCCTCCCCACCCGCCCGTCCGTGAGCCGCACCTTGATGCCCCGCGGGTGGTTGCCCCGCGTCAGCACGTCGGCGATGGTCCCTGAGACGGTGCGGCCGGTGGGTTGGTCGGCTTTCAGGACTATGTTCACGTTCGCTCCGGGGAGGACTTCTTTGGTGGTGGGGACGCGGGGCATTTTGTGATGGGATGGGGTGGGATGGTTGATGGGGGAGGGGTTGCAGGTGCAGTGGTTGGTTGTGGATTTGATGGGGTGGGCGGACACGTGAGTCATTAGTCATCCGTGCATGGTTTGTGCGGGCTTTGTGCACGCGGTGGTGGGTGGATTGAGGCGTTGGATGTGGAAGTAAGAGCTATTGATGCGATGCTCTGTTCCTTTTTAAGTAATGTGAAATGTTAATTATTGGTTCAAGGTGGGAGATAGACTTTTTGTTTTGAGATGTCAATTGGTGGCGGGGTGCTTTCTATATGCCTCCCTAATACTGTAGAAGATACTGCCTAGGGTGCGCAGAACAATGAATAATCTAGACTATATAGGTCGCTGCTTCTAAAGCCTTGACTAATTTGGGTTTCGCTGTTTTATAGGGTGAGATACTGAACAATCAAGCGCCCAAGGTATTGTCACCTGAGGCTTTTTGGTGCTCCATGGTAGTGTTAAAATATGTCAGACACCGAAGCAAAGCATTCAGAAGAGTTTTTAATGTCGGGAGATAGGATATATACTCGAAGATCCTTTATCAGATCTCCGAAATGGAAAAGGAGTTGAGAACCTAGGGCTGTCCCTGCCAAGAAGCAGCGCGATCGGCCCACTGCACTGGACCCCCTACAAATTATGATCTGAATGGTGGAATCTACCACCGGATAGCAAGGATGACTGTGGAGTATGGCATCGAGCCATCTTGGACATAGATAGAGCATCATTTATATGTGGGATGATCTATTTACCTGGAGCTAAGGGCTGCTTATACACTGATCTATCTGCTCTCTACATCAAGCAGACTAACCTAAACAATGTATGCAAGGAAACTATGTGTGCTAAGCATCTTACACGGCTGGATCGAAGTGGCCTGCAAATCAGAACACCCATCGAATACCCACCTCTCAATGCCATCCGCTCGCTGTCTCAGAGTGGTTCCATTTGATCCCTTCATCTGCCTCTCCCCACTACCGTTTCAGCTTGTTGCCCTCCCGTCCGCACACCATTAATTTAAGCTTAATCCTTAAGAACAGCCATCGCCTTCCATCCCAACTTATTCTCTCCATTGTTTGCATTCTTCTTTTTGTTGCAATCGTTTCACTCTTTTATTTACACACTCGTTAAAAATGCATCTCTCCGCCACCCTCGCCCCCCTCTTCCTCTCGTCAGCGCTGGCGCTGCCCGCCGTCTCCCGCCGCGCTGCTGCGCAGTCGGCCACCACCCTCTGCGGCGACTACGACTACATCATCCTGCAGGACACTCCCTGGATCGTGTATAACATGCTCTACAACGCCGCCGAGACGGTCGGCACCCAGTGCACGGGCTACGACTCGCAGACGACCTCCGCCAACGGCACCAAGGAGGTTGTCTGGAGCAGTGTGACGGACATCGAATACGTGGAGGCTACGTATGTTCCCTTGTCACCATCAACTCCACAAACACATCAACTAACAAGCCGGGTGCAGCAACAACGTGCCCAAGGGCTACTCCTTCGTCGGCCTCACCGCGAACCTCGAGACCAAGATCTCGGCCATCTCCTCCATTCCGGCCGACTACACCTGGACCAGGACCAACACCACTGCCTTCAAGGGTATGCCCCCCATCCCTCCATCTTCGCTCAGCCCTATCCCAGAGCCCAAGCTAACGAGAAAAGGAAACACCTGCTTCGACTTTATGACCAACGACGTCAAAGGCGACTCGACCTCCTCCTCCTCGCACGAGCTGATGCTCTGGCTGCAGTACGAGGGCGGCCAGCTCCCCATCGGCTGGACTGACGGCGCCGTCGCCACCATCGACGATCTGTTCGGCACCTCCTGGAAGCTGTACGAGGGCGTCAACGACGACTCCGGCATTACCGTCAGCTCGCTGCTGCCGGATACCCAGTTCGAGGGGGCGTTCGAGGGCGATCTGCGCGAGTGGCTGATGGCCATGGTCAACTTGGGTCGGTTCACGGAGGAGACTTATGTGAATGTTGGCAATGCGGGGTGAGTTTCTTTTCCTTTCTCGGGGAGTATGTGGTGATTGGGTGATGGGGCTGTTGCTAATGCTGGAGCAGAACGGAGTTCTTTTATGGAAACTCGGTGTTGAATGCGACGCTGGGTCTGCAGATTGATCTGGCTTAGATCTGGGTTGTTGGGAGGTAGTGGTGGTGGTGAGTTGGGCTGCAAGTACCCGGATGCGAGTGCCTCAGGCTGGCCTGCAGATAATCTTGAAGATCAATAGAAAATGTATATGTATATGCAGAAGGTTGAACATTACTCCAAAGGGCTGACTGCAGAGTGGGGTACGTAGCCTACAGCACTAGCGGCGGCTAACGTATAGTATACTTAAACGTCAACCTCTGATCAACTCACCCATACCATCCATCACTCCATCCGACTAACCCACACCATGGAACCACACGCTTCACAGCAAAACAGCACCGACCATGAACAATCCCCAGTTGTCAGCAAACCCCTGCGACAAACCCTCCTCGCCCCATTCAACCCCGCAACCGCAACCGCAACCGCAGAAAAGGTCTTCCTCCCCAAGCCCACCTTCCAAGGTTCCTCCATACTAAACCGAACCCCACCAGCTCTGCACAGCACCAATAGAATACACCCAATCCCTCCCCGGCAAAAACACCCTCGCCAGCTTCATCGACAGTCTAACCGTATGGTTCCCCATCCGCGACGAATACACCGCACCCCTGCGCGAGATAACCGCCACCCTCTTCACCACGATCCTCATGTACCCCCCCTCCCATCCCCCCCTTCACTCCAATACCCAAATAACACTAAGAAAACCAGATTAGACGATATAGAAGACTCCTCCCCGCTTCGCCGGGGCCATCCCTCCGCGCACGCCAAATTCGGAACCGGACCGACCGTCAACGCAGCCACTTACACCCTAATGACCCTCACCGCGTCCATCCAGAAGCATCTCGGAGCTGAAGCACTGGACATCTTCCTCGAGGAGATGCAGAACCTGGGTAAGGGGCAGGCACTCGATCTCCACTGGACGTGTGTGAGGGAATGTCCCACGGTGGAGGAGTATTTGGGCATGGTGGATCTCAAGACGGGGAGTTTGTTTCGGTTGGTGGTGCGGTGGATGGCGCTCGGGGCAGGTCGGGAAGTGGATGAGGAGGTGGCGGGGTTGGTTACCTTGCTAGGGAGGTATTATCAGGTTAGGGATGATTTGTTGAATTTGAGCGGGGAGGTGAGTTCTTTCCTTTTTGTCTCTGGGTTCTTCTTGGGGGAGGGGGTGGGGGTGGGGGGAGGGAGATGAGGGGTATATTGGGGTAGGGGTGTGATTGCTGATTGTGGTGCTGTAGTATTGGGTGAGTAAAGGTTGGTGTGAGGATTTGGATGAGGGGAAGTTCTCGTTTCCGCTGGTTTGGTTGTTGAGGGTCCAGGCTGGTGAGGTTGGCGAGGAGGTTTATGGGTTGCTTTTTGGTGAGGCTGGGGGCAGAAGGGAGGCGGGAGGGGTGTCGGATGAGGTGAAGGGGAGGGTGGTTGAGCTTTTGAAAGGTGCTGGAACGCTGGAGGGTACGGTTAGGGTGTTGGAGGAGATTCTTGAGGGGATACTGGCGGTGTTGGGCGGGCTGGAGGGGAGGTTGGGGGTTAATGCTGGGTTGCGGGGGCTGGTTTCGCGTCTGAGAATTTGAGAACTGCAGTCTTCAACAGATGATTGGTGTCTATGTATGGCTCAGGGGAGAGATGAGAGATGGATATGCCGTTTCTTTCTGTACAAGGGACTGGCCGAGAGCGTGAGACTCAGGACGTTTACATTGACTTATACACACCCCATGATTATGCGAGCAAGGTCCCACTTGTTCCGGGCCACTGCGGCCAGAGGTCAGCGACTCGACAGGATGAGGAAGGGTAAAGTTATGACTAGTAGATTCTGAAAGCTCCTGTAGTTCCACACCTCTCGGGTCAATTTGAGCGCTGCAGGTAGGCTTGATAAAGGTATTTCAGTCTTCAGTCAAGACAAGAGGTTGTAAGGGACTATTTCAAATGGTCTAGTTCATTTCTCCAAAGGAGGTATTCTCCGGGAATTTGACCTTAACAAGATAGCGATCATTGCCGATCTGCATCAAGACCGACCCTTCAAAAAGCGCAACATGCTTGCACTACTCCCTCTTAACCATGTTTAACTTTCTCAAGTCCTTTGACTCAGCGCTTGTTCTCTTCTACCCCCTTCTCCCCAGGCGCGTCCGAGGCCTTGTCCGAAGCCTCGTCCATTGCCTTGCCAGTAGTCTGCCCCGGAATCGGCTTCTGACAGTAAGCAGCCGCGTCGTCTCCCTGGTGAGTATTTATACGTGCGTTAGCCCCATCGAAGTGTAAAAACACCAATCTGGCCGAAATCGGACAGAAAATCCAATTCAAATCGCCCAGCAGGCAGGAAAACCAAACTATGAGGAGTAGAGAATAAAGAGAACATACCGAGCCCCCCGCACAACACGCCAGTGCATACCCCCGCGCAACATCACAGTCCGTCGCTGCTGAGACCGCGTCACCTGCTCGTTTGTCAGCTTCATGCTGTGGAGAATTGTTTTGCAAAGGGGAGAGCGTACATTCGGCGCCCACAGTCCCTAGCAATTCCGGGTCGAGCGCCACACCCGCTCCATTGGTCACGTCGGTGACCGCACCGTCAGCCAGCGAGTTTCGGACCTTGCAGCATTTGAGGTTGTGGTTGGGGTTGCATTTTTGGGCCAGAGTGGTCGGCGAGAAGGAGAGGAGGAGGACGGGGAGGAAAGTAGTGAGATGCATTTCTGAGGGTTTGCAGGTTTCTGTGGCGGAGGAATAGAGATTGGAAGATGGTTTGTGAGTGTTTGGGGCTTGGGTTGAGGTTGATGGTCTCGAGGAATGACAAGTTCTTATATTACTCGTTGTGAGAATTGAGTTTGTCTCTCTCCTGAAGATCGGTTATATGTCAGATGATGGGCATCGTGATCGGCCAGCAAAAGTCTATGATGCATCTACTGGTTTCCAGGGCTACGTCGGTGGTCAAGCCGATGTAGCCGTTCTGGTTGCCTGGCAGATAATCATCGAACCCATCAGACTTCAACGCTTCAAGTCGATCGCAGAAATGAAGTTAACTCAACTGTTTTTCTACAGTCGAGTATAAAGGAAAGAACTGAGGGGAAATGTCCGTAGCAGGGGGCTGCCGTCTCACATGCAATGATATACAGGGTCAGCTGTGATCGGCTTTATTGCATCTTCATAGTGACCTGTCATATGGCTAAGAGCTTGTGCATGGCACTTGACAGTTGACACGGGATTGATATTCGGCATCACAGTACAAGTATATGAAGAGTGCTGACTGTAACTTCCTATGGGTCGCCCTGGCATGTTGTATACCCCGCTTGTCCAAGTCAGTAGGCAACAGATGACAAAAGCAGAAACCGAGCAGCCCTATTACACCCGACTAACATATGATGTATTTAGCAGGTAAGAAAAAAAGACAGCTTCGCCGATCAAGGAACGATATACTCTACACATTTCCATACTGCTCATAACCATCGAAATCGATAGTTTAGATCGCATGGTATGCTCCCACCCATGGAATCGCCCGTGATAACCCAAACCCACAACCTCGGCTCATCCCGACCGAGTTCTAGAACCATTATTCATGCCTCAGGCCTGAAGCTCATCCCCATCAAGCCTAGCGCTCTCTTCCACACTAAGCCCAAACCAGCAAGACCAAAATGTCCGACGGCAGACGATAAGCGCGAGAAAAAAAACTCCCCCTCCCCGCTTCGCCTCCTTTCAGAAAAATTTCCCCCGCATCTCACGCATTCTCTCACTCACACAACAACCCCTAACCTCTTCACCCTCCACCTTTGTTCACACCGTTGCCAGAAGCACCACAACCGTCACCATGGGAAACGTAAGCGACTAACTGACTTTTCTTTCTGCAAGATGCGATGCGACGACTTGAGTCGGGTTCTCGGTCGCATTTATGGAAACGTGGCTGGAGAACCTTGCTCAAGTCGAGCGGACAACACATGCAAATAGACACTGTGACTGCAGTGTCGGCTGATTATCAGATACTTACGACTCATTCTCCAGGGAGCCAAAGCCCAGATGAAGCGCGAGCGCAACGCCAAGGACGCTGGCAAGGGTGGCAAGTCGCAGTTGAAGGCCGTACGTATTTCTTCTGCTTTTGGTCTCGTGTCTGGTGGGGAGTGGAAGAGCAAGAGGAAGCGCAAGAGAAGCAAGGGAGGGCGACCACTTACTCACGCTGCCCTAGAACGAAGCCGCCAAAGACATCATCTGCCAGATCTGCCGATCGACCTTCCTCAAGACGGCCAAGGCTCCCGCCCTCACCGAGCACGCTCAGAACAAACACAACAAGACCCTCCAGGAGTGCTTCCCTTCCTTCGCCTAGAATATCGGAGTCACGAGCGATGGGTGATCGGTGGGATCAGCGGGGTTCGTGCTTGTGAACGAGACACTACGTGCATCTGTGCTGGGGAGTTTTTGAGCGACTGTTCTTGAAGTGCATATTTCTTGGAGATGGAGATGGGGAAGAATTGATACCTTTTGCTTTTCTGTGCGATTGCTGCTTTTCATGGAGAGAGTACGGTTGCATCTCAGTAGTTTGGGCATTGTAGGCAGCGGTCACCAAATTGTGGTTCATGTCGGCTATGACCGTCGTTCGGACGAGCGAGGAGATCTTCATCTAGAATCCGACGAGCTTCACTCCTCTCTATAGCGTCGAGGATTGTTTCTTGCAGGAAGGCGGGGTATATCGCGGTGACGTTCTTCAACCAAGCGATCGTCTACTCGAAAGGACCCAATATGCTGCCCAAAGTATCCCCATACCGATCACATATGATCGAACTATGGTAGCATTATTCATGATGGGTAGGCCAAGATCGTCACTGCATATGATGGGTCTGATCAGATCTGGACAGGGCTTGTTGTCCTTCTGTGACCAATGTCCTACAGGCAGCACGTCTTTCACCGTCCACTGTTTGCCGTCTGCCCTCAGTATCACCCGTGCGATAATCGCCTCACTCAGTGTCTTATACATGTAGTCTCGCATCCTGGGGCCAGTCGAGGTATTCGTAAATCAATCTTCACATAGGCTACAGCTGGTGTAAAAAATCTTCTCTGCGTTTATGTACACTTGGTCCCACGGAGTATGTCGCCATAGGATACCCGACTGGCAGTGGTCGGCCCTACTTCCGGGGTCTCTGTCGGGAACAGACAACTGAACAGGGTCGACCGTATGCGACCGGCAGCATCTCCGTCAGCTTCTCTCAGTCGATCAGTGTTCGAGCTCTTTTTGCGTAGTGTCCTCTATTGAGCAGTTCGTGCTTTCATCGCATCCTCCATAGTCTGTGATTTTATGTGGTTTCCGGAAGCCCAGTCGCAGACAAGATTCCCGCGTACAACCAACCCTAAGAAGTACGGATCCTGGAAGAGAATCGGTATCGCTTGAGGGAGAGTAGATCCAAGGTAAACCGGTCAGTGAGTAGTCTTCGCCTTCACCTTGCGCCATCCTGCGGACAACTACAACAGACACCATCATTACTGTCCCTATTCTTCGGCAAAGATATTCACTTTTGTCGCTCCAACCCTATATGCGTTGGCTCGCCTAAGCCACACATCGCAGTCAAGTATTAGTCATCATCTTCTTGATCCATGTCCTGCATGCAGAAAGTCCAATACGCCCCGAGAGGATGCATGCTGGAGCTAGAGGTTGTGCTACTTGGGCTGCAGCAAGCTACCCCGTTTCATACATATTGCGTGAGATAGCTTCAATGGAATGAAGTTGGGACGGGGTTCAGTCCGATGCTGCTTACTACTGGCTGCGAGACTGCGAGCCTCGCAACTGGTACTCTCCACGTTTATCAGGAGGTGGTCCTAAGGACTAAGTACGAATTAGCTGCCAGCTCCAGAACCCATGATCTGTACGACAATACTTTGCGGAAGTCGAGTTTTGGACGTGTTGTGTCCGTTGTGGGAGTTTTGTCGGCCACTGTCTCGATAATTGATGTCTAATTCGATAGATACGGCGACATTGGATGCAGAAATGTCTAGCCAGCCGAATCCTATCTGGTCATTGTCTGTCTAGCATGACGTGGAACCCCCCCCAGTACCCCCTCGGCCATCCTCCGGCAGAAAACCAAGAACCGATGACGGGACTCGGCAATCCGTAAAGAGAAAACATGTCCGATAGGACAAGAGACTTACGGATTGAAACTTGATAAGATGGCATATTGCGCCATAAGGCGACATGCGGGGTACATCAAGTGCCGGAGTGCTGATGCATTGTTGGTTGATGGTTGCATAACATGCTTCGCGGATTGCGTGATACGTCCGGGATAAGGTGGGATGTGTTGACTGACTCGCCCGGCAAGACATGGCTTTGTAGTGATTTAAATAGACGGAAAAGACGGTTGTCACCACCCCTCCATCATCTACCAGATTGAATCAATCGTACCAATTCCTTGCTCGGACCTTCACCATGGCTCCCGGGATCAACGAAACGCCCATCCCCATCCACCCGCACCCCGATGCGGAAAGACAATACCCCAAGCCCCTCAAGGTCAGCGGCGCCTTGGACAAGTACGAGTATGAAGAAACCACTCCCGTGATCGGACGCGAGTATCCGACCGTCAACATCGTCGACGACCTGTTGAATGCTCCGAATGCGGACGAATTGGTCCGCGACCTGGCCATCACCAGTACGTACACGAACTACCCCACAACAACCCTAACTCCCGCCCCGGGCCCTCTCTCTTCCCTTCCACTCCACCCAACTAACAAGCCCAGTCTCCCAACGCGGGGTCGTCTTCTTCCGGGCACAGGATAACCTCACCGACGCCCTTCAAAAACAGCTGGTCCAGCGCCTCGGCGAACTAAGCGGCAAACCCGCCACCTCGATCCTCCACATCCACCCGGTGCTCAACAACACGAACGAGTTCGGCGTCAGCGACGCCGAGATCAGCACGATCAGCTCGCTCGCGCGCAAGAAGCTCTTCGGACCCAGCCACGCGCTCAACCGCCGCAAATACGACTCCGCCCAGTGGCACTCGGACATCCAGTTCGAAGCCGCCCCGGCCGACTACACCTCCCTGCGGCTGACGCAGCTGCCCCGCACCGGCGGCGACACCCTCTGGGCCTCCGGCTACGAGATCTACGACCGGCTCTCGCCCAAATACCGCGCGTTCCTGGAGGGGCTGACGGCGACGTTCTCCGGGGACGGGTTCCTGAAAGCGGCGGAGCGGAACCCGGAGGAGGTGCGCATCTACACGGAGGCGCGCGGCAGTCCGTTGAATGTGGGCAAGGAGCTGACGGCCGTGCATCCGGTCGTCCGGACGAATCCGGTGACTGGGTGGAAGAGCGTCTTTGCGATTGGGCCGTTTCCCAAGGTGATTAATGAGTTGACGGCGGAGGAGTCGGAGGAGGTGTTGGGCAAGTTTAGGCGGGTCGTCGCCGAGAATCATGATTTGCAGGTGCGGTTGAAGTGGAGGAATGCGAATGATATTGGTGAGTTTGGGGCTTTTGCTTGGGGTAGGGTGGTTGGGCTAACGTGTCGGCAGCGATCTGGGATAATCGGAGTGTGTTCCATACGGCGACATTTGATTACGAGGGGCTTGGGGAGCGGTTCGGGCATCGTGCTGTGGGTATTGGCGAGGCGCCGTATTTGGATCCGAAGAGTCGGTCGAGGACGGAGGCGTTGGCGGAGGAGGCGGCTTGATGGCGGTGGTGGGTCTGTGCAGGTTGCCTCTGGATGGAGTCCTCGGAAATAGGTTGGGTCATGCTTGGTGCCGGAATCTCGTGGCTACTGACATCAAGCCCTCGAACAGCTTCTTATCTGTTCTGTATTGAGTGTAGAAGCCTCTTTTCCTGCTATAATGTCTCTAGATCAGTGACAGATTAAGATATTGCAACTGAGACAGGTCATGACTATTCGCGGTCCTACAATGACCTTACTAACTGCCAAGCTATCGGGACAATTAATGACCTCGGATATACACCGGGAAACTGCCTTCTAATGAGATGGGAAAGGCGGGGCGATGAGCTCTCGTTGCATGTTTTAGCTTCACCCTGTGCCATTGTCCCCGAAACTTGGAAAATCAACAAGGAAAAAAGAAAAAAGAAAAATCAGCAAAATGGGGTATCCCCATCGTGAACCGATTCTATACCCTTCACGCGCTTCGACTTCTTCTCTTGCTGAATAGTCTCTCTTCCGAGCTATCTCGTCCCCTAAGTCACTCGCGGTTGCGGTGTAGATGCGCCTGAGGTTGAGCCACGACTCATCAGTCGCGGTATGTGGTATGTTGCGGTGGGAATTGTGGCACTCGACCGCTCCAGGACCGCTGGTAACTGCTCCTGGAGCCTCTGCGGGCGACGATCCTCGAGGTCGGCTATGGAGTAGAGGTGTTTCTCAGCCTTGTCCAAGGACAGGCGAACGAGCATATCACTCCCGTCAGCACCTTCTCCCTCCGGGGGTCCAGTCTGCAGGATTGTTGCCGTGGATGACCAACGTAGATTCTCGGGCAAACGTGCCAGGGTCTGTACCTGGAGCCGACCATCAGCTGTCAGAGAGCGCAGTACAACTGCTCCTCTCGCCGAAGACTCAAGTAGCTGGGAGATCTCGGGCTGTTGGGCTCCCCCATGCTGTCGGCTCCGCGACGAGAAACAGAGGGTATTTGCCGATTGGGTAGGCTGGATCTGCATGCCATCCAGCATCCGAGTCAGGGTCTGCCGATCCTGTGGACGGACCGCGACCGCTGCACCCCGTGCTTCCAGGTGTTTTCGTTGCTCTTGGAGGCCTGAGCACTGGCTGCCAGACGGGGCTCGAGAGGGAGACGCATCCTGCATGCCAGCAGTTGCAATAGAGCCCATTGCTGAAGACGACGACGACATACACTCATCAAGATCTATGACCACATAGAGGCCGTGCTCACCCGGCTGCTTGCCGTGTAAAAACTGACCATCGGGGCTGAACGCAGCACACTGAAGTATACCATCACAGGGCCGGTAAAGGCTGCGATTGGAGATCCTTGTCGATGGGGCAGCTACGCCTGTGCCTTCACAGCCTATGCTGCGACTAAAGTCCCAGAGAAAGGTCTGTGCACTCTGGGGCCGCTGGCCGGGGATTCGACGCCCGAAAGGGGTGAATGCCGTAAATACAACCAGAGGCTGCGATGGGTGGAAGACCAGGCTCTCCTTGAGATAATTCCTCAAGTACTCCCCGGGTAGGTCGATGGGCCAGGACCCGAAGCAAGCATAGTCTTCTGGATTGCTCTTCACACCGCTGGAAGAAGAAGCGTCTGCTGCTGCTGCTGCCTCATCTCTGCCGGCGCACACGAAAAACTGGAGCAGTCCCTCGTAGGCGAGCTTTCCCCGCTGAGAGAGAAAGACACCGCTGGCATGCCGGAAGACGACCACGATAAAATACTTTCCTACTGTCCAACTTTTGAGCTGGATGCTGTTGTCGAGGACGGGACCGATGCATCTCCACGCAGGTGGTATACGATTGAACACGTCTAGATGACTGTGGCAGGCCTTTGCCTGGTTGGCAATCAGCGGACCCTCGAGGCGCACAACCGAGTTAAGGGCGACGACCTGACGTAAATCCTGCGAGATAGCGACGGGAAACATGAACCGGGTGTTGCCTCGCATCTCGGGCTGACGCTTGGTGGCGAGGTCCAGAACGAGCTTCATTGCTCTTGAATCCACGACCCACGCGAGGGCGAGGATCTGCATCTTCGATTCCAGGTTCCATAGTGTATAATGGGCTGTCCACCCGAAAGGTTCGACTGGGCCGAGTTGATCAGCTCGTAGCGATGCCAGAGCCCTGCGGTGGCTTATCAGCTTTCTCTCTTTCATTTATGGCAAATGCGCTGTAACTCATTCTACTCACATTGGAGGTGCCAGTCGAACAGCCGCGGAAGCCGTACCGTCCCACGAAGTATGGGATACGATCAAAATGGTCTTGGCCATATCAGCCTCGTTGTATTCAAAGTGCATTAAGCGACTCTGGCTCGTTCGCCGCAGGAACTTGGATTGGCTGAAGATTGTCAAACTTTCATCCCAAATCACATGAGGTTCTGCCTCGAGGAGATAAGACCAGGACTCCGTCAAGGCTTCGATGTCATCAGAAAGGAGTGGATAATCGTCCGTGAGGAGACGGACTGTGACCCCCATCTCTCTTAAGGCCAGCAACATATCATGTGGTAAGGGACATAGGGAGGGCGGATTACCGAAAGTCCACGAGGCCTCGAACCACACGCATAGTCGGTCTCCGTTGTAGAGGAATTGGGTCAGAAGTTCGAACAATTGCTGGCATTGCGCCCCGAAAGAGGGCTCTGCTTGATGCTTCCAAGCTTCGCGCACCAGATTATGAACATGATTGGACCAGAAAAGGACAGCATAGTCTAGAAGCGGAAACCTCTTGTGCGCGTCCCGGGCATCAATACTGGTATCAGCGTCACCACTCAAAGGCCTTGGGGGCAGGGTGTGAGCCAGGTATCCCATGATCCTGAGGGAGATACCCAACTCGATCTCCGCACGAGTAAATCGCAGTCCTCCCGTGCTAGAGGTGAACAGGTTGGTTTCACGTTCGTCGAAGATAAAATACTCATGTGCGGAACCATGAATGAATTGGACAGTATTGTGCCCAATAACCTCTAATAGGCCCCCAAAGATGTGGCCAATTGACTGTTCCAGGTCAGGGATGGCATCCCCTTCTTTGAGAGGACCATTCACGGGCTGGAGCATGGCGGTCGCTAGTTCACCTACGGTCACTGGGCGACAGGCACCCAGAACCCAGATGAAACCAGCTTTCACATTCGCAGCAGCAGCGCTTGTTTCACCGTTGATCAGTGTCCCGGAGATTTCCCGGTAGATATTATCCAAGCCTTGCAATCGATTGAGATTATCAATCGCATCGAGCCGTTGCGAAATGCTCATTCGCCTCGACTCCAACAGTGCAATCAGCAGTTTCGTCCACAGAAAAAGCCCATTGGCTCGGGCCAAGATTGCGTCGAGATATTCATCGGCGTACTCGGGTGGTGGTATCAAACCCTCACCCACAAGGTTTTCTAGTCGAGGACGAAGGAACTGTATCATGTCGGCTGTATTATGTCCTTGCCGTAGGCTCAGTACAGCACTCTTGTCACGGACAGCCGATGGCAGCAGCACGGTGGGTCGGCTGAACAAGACCAGCCAACATCGGCGGCAATCCATCATCAGCTCATCGACATAATGGAGGAAGGTTGGAGGATCGATGCACTCGTCAACAGCATCAATAATAAAGGCAAAGCCCGGGAATTGGGCGAGCATAAGGCGGAGAATGGTGAACACTTCGAGATCAGTCGCAGCAGGTTGCCCCACTACCTTGTGGTCGAAGAGAGTGGAGACAATGTCAACAGCCTTCTCGTCGCGGCGATAGCTGTGAAGCATCTGTACCAACAGCGATCGTAATGCGAGCCCAATCTCTTGCTGTTGATGGTGCCTGTCAAAAAAATAGTAGGCTACTGCGTTGATGGGCGGGTCTGGCGATGCCCCGTGGGCTTGCTGAAGTCGATCGATGACCACAGTACACAGCGTGCTTTTACCAAAACCTGGATTGCCTGTCCGGTGGAATTAGCGGAAATCATCACTGAATGTGCGTTAGGAGTCAACCTTCAATGAGCAGGACTGGCCGGTCAGGATCCTCACAGACTCTCCAGCTTCGATATCCGGGGTGCTCCAGGATCCAACCTCCCGTCTCGGGTTCCTTCATTCGGAGCATTTCTTCATATCTTGCTTTCCACTGCGGTGGTCGGATCCAGTCTCCAAGTCTTTCTATTGTGCTGTCTTGTACACGTCGAAGAACGAGGTCAATTACCAAAATCTCAGTCAAGGCGCCGAAGTTTTGCATACCCATTGTGCGAGCTTTGTCCTCCTCAGTCTCCGAAGCATTCTTTTCAAGTTCCTTATCGAACCTGTTGTAAAATGCGAGGGCTTCAGAGTCAGCAGCCGCTCTGACCTCAAATTCGAAAACCGTTCGATGGTTTCCGAGCCGTGTCATGACATCTTGAAACTCCAAATCAAAGGGTTTCCAAGCTCTACGGCGGGTTAAGCGATGACTGAGTTTGAGGCCCACTGGAATGCAAATTGAATCAGCCTCTGGGAAGTGTCCCTCAAACAAGTCCAAAGAGCTTGAAAGAGAAGCAAACGACTCCGACATACCGCGTGTTTTCTTCGAGAACAACCTGATCACACGATAGAAAAAAGAGATTACGTCGACATATACATCAGCCATGGTGGATTGTAAGCGCCTGGGGATGTTTTCGGGCTGCTTCTCGAACCGTTGAAGGAATTTCTCCAGGTAGATTTCGTAAACGCGCAGGGACTGGCCAATGTCCTCGAAAGCTTCTGAAATCCTCTCCGCATATTCGAGATAATTGGTACTGAGCTGGGCGAGCAGGAAAAAAAGAAATCAGAAAAGCCCGCCGCTGCTCCGGGGAATGAAAAGGCTTTCACCTGGAAGATGAGCTTGATAGTACCCCAGACAAGCCCCAGATACTCGGGTTTGACTGAGACCCATGTCTCAATTATGGAGAAATACGGCTTCATGTACGACGCCACTTTTCGACATCCCTGGGCGAACCTCTCTAGCCGGCTTTTTTGCTTCTCATCGCACATGTTAGCAAGGCAGCGATGGATAGCCACACTCATCTCGTCAAGGTCGGAATAACCCTCGATGATCGGCCGTTCATTCTCTGGTATTGTGTTGAGAAAGACTGAGTATGCATTTCTGAAGACCTCGGATGGATTCCGGGCACTGCAGGGTACTATCAGTTAGGCAGGGAAGCCTATAACAACTTTCAGCCTGCTGTCAAGTTCCAACCTACTGAATGCTCGATATATCGGATGCAAGACTCATGCTAAATGTGCACTAGACAGGCTCGATTGACGATGATACTGAGAGCCAAATACAAGTACCACGAAGATATCCTGGCGGGGGTGTTCGAAGGAGCATGCGAAGAACGAGTCGGATCAATCTTTATATCATTTGCCGAACAGCCATTGTGGCTGTATGCAACTACGAAGCGCCATGACGTGTCGTCATAGCTTTACCGTCCTTGGTGGACAATTGTGGCTGTGTTATGCCACATCACTTTTCTCGCCAAAGGTTAGGGCTGGCTGTTGTTTCGATCTAATTTGCTTCAAGAATGTGTGGCTATGTCTGGTGTAACAGTACCTTTTGATTCTTTGTATGAACTTCCTCCAACATACTGCACTGCCTCGCAGACACCTGCAGCTTGGCTACAACTGCGGATACTTGAAACTAGGTATTGTACAATTCACTAGTGTGTACGGAGTAATATTTACAGTACAGAACTAAGCACCTTATGGCCTATATCCAACTCGCCTTAGCGTCAATGAACACCGCAGCGTTGGGCAGCTTCATGTGATTCCAAACAGGGATCGGATCACTTTTCTTTTTGTTTGTGGTTTCCATCTCAATCAACTGAAAACTGAATTATTGGCTCATCGGCCTTGGTTATGCAGATACTTTCTAAAGAAAGGAGGGTCGAGATCAAGCGAGATGGGGCTTCGGAGGGAGTGGCTTTCAAGCTAAATTCTGACATGCTGCTGGTGGCTGGCGCAGTAGCCTGCTCTGTTAGCCGCCCATATTTTTAGCTGGATGAGATCGGAGAACCGAGCTTTGAACATCCCCCGGACTTTATGATGATTCAGATATTAGGAAGTGGAAGGTATTACGCGCTCGGCTGATTATCCTAGCATGCAACAAGGCGAGAAACAGACGCAGTCGGGTATTCAGTATGGTGAAGCACCTGTGTCAAACTGATCGAGCAAATTCACCAAGTATGAGGAACCCCAAGTCTATGTGGTCAATTCTCAATCTCAAGATTCGTCCTCTTATTTGGCAACTCTCCATGGATGGAAGAGTTGTACTCGGATAAAGAGAGAGTAATCCAAGCGTCGCACATAAAAAGCTTTGAGAATCCATTCCTCGAAGAGTGGCGCTAAAGATAGGGCTATCTCTAGCCTCTTTCTATCTCCTTGCGTGTGCTCTGCTTCTCTCTTGCTCAAGTATTCCTACTGTGCCAAGAAGAAAGAACAAAGAAAAAGTTTTTTTTTTTTTTAAAAAAAAAAAAAAAAAAAAAAACCGAAAAAACAACACAAGAAAAGACACTAAACGTAGGCTTGGCCGATGATGATTTGGCAGCTGCCGCCAAACAGATTTTGACCTGGATTTAACCCCGCCTTGGCCCCTGAGATGGCCTCTTTCTTTGCTGCACCTCCGCTACTGGTAATTGTTTCTACTGGGACGCTACTTTGCGCATGATGGATCATCACGAACAACCCGCGTCGGAATTAAAGAGACAAACGAGTGATCGCGACGATCGCGCAAGAACCCGTGAGGACTACACCGTCGGGTGGATCTGTGCGTTGTTTGAGGAACAGGTTGCAGCAACGGCAATGCTGGACCAAATCCATCCCGACCTTCCCAAGCCACCAAATGACCCCAATGCCTACACATTAGGATCGATCGATCAGCATGGAGTGGTGATAGCCTGCTTACCGAGCGGGAAATATGGGAACAACCCAGCTGGAACCTGCGCCAACCACATGGTACGAACCTTTCAGTCCGTCAGGGTGGTCCTCATGGTTGGCATCGGCGGCGGAATTCCACCCAAAGTCAAGCTCGGGGACGTGGTCATTAGCACTCCGGTCGACCGATTCTCTGGGGTGATTCAGTGGGATTTGGGAAAAGCAGAGAAGGACGGGAAGTTCAGACCTGTTGGCTCGCTCAACAATCCTCCTACTGCTTTGTTGACAGCGATATCCAAGATGCGGACCCGACACAGGCTGAATGGACATCAAATACCTCGCTATCTAGACACGATGGGCAAAAGGTTTCGCAAACTTGTCCCAGAGTACACACAATCAACGTCGCTCATAGATCCTCTCTTTCGGGACGTGCCAGACCAAGCAGAAGACGACTCAGAAAGCATCTCTCTGCACTATGGCTTAATCGCATCTGGTAATCAGGTCATAAAGGATGCAAATTTGCGGGATAAGATCAACCAAAGCTTCGACGGAAAAGTTCTCTGCATTGAGATGGAGGCAGCTGCACTGATAGATAATTTTCCGTGCATTGTCATTCGGGGCATCTGTGACTATGCAGACTCAATGAAAGAAGAGTCCTGGCAGAAATATGCCGCAGCTGTCGCCGCGGCGTGCGCGAAAGAACTGCTTCACTACGTCCAGCCAAGCGAGGTCAACGCAGAGCTCCCAGTTCGGAGTATTCTTGGTGACGGTTAGTCTCGTGTTAATTCCACTAATATTGTACCGGTCTCATTGATTTCAAGTGATGAAGGCTGTACGAAACACCGAGACCCAAGTCAAGTCAATGAGAACCCAATTGAATAGAGAAGAAGACCTTCGCATCCTGGATTGGTTCAGCAAAGCCGGACATGGCCCACGTCATAGTGAGATATTGAAGATGAGGCAACCAGGAACAGGACAATGGTTTCTAGATTCGGCTCAGTATCGACATTGGCGGAGCCAGGAAAGGCAGACCCTGTTGTGCACGGGGATTCCAGGGTCGGGAAAGACGATGATAGCAGCGATAGCGATTGATCACCTCATGACAACACTGCTACAACATCCATCTTCAGGCCTTGCATACATCTACTGCGCATTCGACCGGCACAGTGAACAGACGATTGAAAATCTGCTCTCAACTCTCATCAAGCAACTGAGTAAAGGCCAGCCTTCTCTGCCAGATGCAGTGAAAGAGCTTTTCAGTAATCATCAGAGATATAGCACACGGCCCTCGTGTGAAGAACTCTCTAGAACGCTGTTGGCAGTCACCTCTATCCATAAGCAGGTTTTTATCGTCGTTGATGCATTGGATGAATGTCAATCTTCAGATGGTCGCTTGAGACAACTCTTGTCCCAGATATTCGCTCTCCAGTCGAAAGCTAACATAAACTTTCTTGCTACCTCAAGGCCTATCCCTGAGATTGAGAAGCAATTCAAGACATGTATTACGCAAACAATACGGGCTTCGGAGAAGGATATCCGCAGCTTTATTTCTGGCCGTATGAGCCAGCTCCCTGATTTCATCAATGACAATTCAGCATTACAGGAGGAGATTAAGGTTAAGATCATTGAGGTGGCGAACGGAATGTACGAGAACCCTGATCTTCGCGAAGAAGTGAGCTGACTGCTGTTTTGTCAAGGTTCTTGATCGTACGACTATACTTGGACTCTCTAAGAGGGCTGCATGCGCCTAGAGCAGTCCGAACGGCTCTAGAGAGGCTTCCTCGTGGCTCTGATGCGTACGACTACGCATATTCCGAGGCGATGCAAAGAATCAAGAGTCAAGTCCCCGCCTCTCGAACAATAGCGTTGAAGGCTCTGATGTGGATCACGGGTGCAAAAAGACAACTTCGAGTACTGGAGCTGCAGCACGCTTTGGCGATCGAAGACGGAGACACCGAGCTCGATGCGAGCGGCATTCCTAGCGTCGCCTACATCCTCTCCGTGTGTGCCGGTCTGGTGACGGTCGACGAAGGAAGCGACTCCATGCGATTGGTACATTATACCACTCAAGAATATTTCAATCGGACCCGAATACTCTGGTTCCCAGATGCAGAAGTGGAAATCACATCGATCTGCATTCGATACCTTTCGTTTCACACGTTCCGCAAGTCTTGTTCAAGTGAAACAGCATTCATGAGGAGACTACAGGCATACAAATTCTACAAGTACGCGGCACGTCACTGGGGACATCATGCCCGTCTGGCTTTGACCTTGTGCCCAGAAATCTACACTTTCCTAGGGGATGACGGCCTAGTTGAATCTTCGAGTCAGGTATTCCTTCAACAGACTTTGCCGACGAAAGCCAGGGGATTACACATGGCTGCATTCTTCGGGTTGGAGCAGGCGATCATCGCTATTGCTCCAAAGTCAGACCAAGTAGACCCACGAGATTGGCGCGGCCAAACTCCACTGTCCATCGCAGCTCAGAAAGGCCACGATACAGCAGCATGTCTGCTTCTCGACAGAGGTGCTGACATCGAGTCACAAGACAGCACTTCCTACGGAACGCCTCTATTCCACGCAGTAGCAGGAGGGCATCTGACTACGGTCCAGCTACTACTCCAGAGGGGTGCCAAACCTGACTCCAAGGGTATCCACGATATGACTCCATTATCGAATGCTGCCGTCCAAGGCCATGAAACGCTTGTTCAACTACTACTCGATTGGGGTGCTGATATCAATGCCAAGGATATCAACAATATGACTCCGTTGGCCTTGGGGGCAAAAAATGGCGATGCACGAGTGGTGCGAATCATTCTTGATAACGGCCCTCAACTCGAGCTAGAAGATAACACACTCGGGCGAACCGCGTTGGGACATGCTGCTGCCATGGGACACCAGGCAGCCGTGAAGCTACTAGTCGAGCATGGCGCGAACATCGAGACAAGAGATATCGACGGCTCGAGCCCACTTTACTACGCATTGAGTTTAGAATGTAATGAAATGATTCAGGTACTGCTCGAGAATGGTGCGAGTTGGGATATAGGTGATGATTTACCATCCACGGCACTGCATTGGGCAGTCACCTCTTCGTGTGAGGGGATGGTACAGCTCTTACTCGACCGGGGTGCCGATATCGAACAAAAGGATTCCGAAGGAAACACTGTCCTGGCAATTGCAGCCTGCGAAGGGCTTGAATCAGCGGTGCAGATTCTTCTTAGTCGAGGAGCCGATTGGAAATCCCAAAACGATGAGGGTGAGACACCATTAGAACAAGCACTCTGTTTTGGACACGATTCGATGGTGCATCTGTTCCTCGACAGGGACAGTGACCAGGCGTCAAAGGGTGAAATCTATCGGTCATTACTACTCCCGGCATCATCCAGAGGCCATATGACATTCGCTCGGCTTTCAATCGAGAAGGGTGCTCGGATCAATGGCAAGGACCGATATGGACGCACACCATTAGCAATCGCAGCAGCTCATGAGCATGGTTCGCTGGTAAAGCTTTTCCTGGAAAAGGGAGCCAATTTAGAGTCGAAAGACAACTGTGGCAGAACTGCGTTAACTGATGCAGCAAAGTCTGGACACACCCCCATGATAAAGCTGCTCATGGAACATGGCGCCAGTGTGGAAACGAAGGATAAGAATGGCAGGACTCCGTTAGCATACGCAGCCGAGTTGGGGCTTACTTCAATGGTGGAATCGATGCTCGAGAACGGTGCCAATCCGGACTCGACAGACAAAAATGGCAGCACTCCGCTGACCAAGGCAGCAGAACGGGGTCATACTTCAGTGGTGGATCTGTTGCTTGAGAAGGGTTCCAGTTTGGAGTCAAGAGACAACGACGGCAACACCCCATTGGCAAAGGCAGCGCAAGGGGGTAGAACTCTCGTCGTGGAGCAATTGCTCCAGAAAGGGGCCAGTACCGAGTCAAAGGATAATCAGGGCAGTACCCCGTTAGCATGGGCAGCCTTTTGGAGTAATGCTAATGTTGTCAGAGTGCTGCTGAGAAACGGGGCTGATGTCGAGTCCAAGGACAAAGATGGCTCTACTCCATTGGCAAAGGTGGCACAGCGAGGCCTTCGACAGGGAATGACGGGAATACTTGGCCACAGAGTTATAAGGCTCCTACTAAACAAGGGAGCCTGTGTAGAGTCGAAAGATCACGGTGGCAGGACCCCGTTAGCATATGCAGCACAGTCGAGTTGGGTTCCAGCAGCAGAGCTACTACTCGACCACGGTGCGAATATGGAGTCGAAAGATGATGCTGGCATGACTCCATTAATATGGGCAGCGAGGCTCGGATCCGTTGAGGTAGTCAGATTACTGCTTGCCAATGGTGCTAATAGGGAGGCAGAAGATGGGGATGGTATGACTGCATTAGCATGGGCAGAGAAGGAGAGGCATCGTGAAGTGGTGCAGCTATTGTCTAGTTGAACATTTTTTGGACTAAGAATTGATGCCGACGGCCAGAAACAGACAGGCAAATCTCAAGGCTTGTGGATATACTCAAATTTTCCTGTGGCAGTAGCATTGTTTCTGAGGTTCTTTGCTTTTGATAGACAGATAGCGCGCATGGTGAGGCTAATATTAAGAAATCCCTTTATCTAACACATCTAGACTCCCAAGGACGGCATCATCATGGCGAAGTTTGTCCAGCGACAAAACTGTTGTCAATAACAACGATCTTTCTAAACCAAAGCCCTTCCTCGAAGTCCCCTCTGCCTCTATTATCGCCTCTCTCACCAGGAGCAGATATCCTGCATCACCAGGCAAAAGGCGCAGGTACTGGTGGTTTTCGCCCGTCTGGCGGCCAGGGCACGGCGTTCAACGACAAAGATCTGTGTCACGGCACACTCCCTGGTGCAAACTGCTGAAAGACATCCATCTCTGTGGAATTCAGCTCCGTTGCCTCAGCTTTTGCGCCTCGAGTTTGCCGGGTTCTGTTTCTAGGATGGAAATTGTTTGTCTGTACCGCATACGCTTTCAATGCCTGAACGGCGGACTCACGTGGAGCTCATCCAAACAAGGAATTCGCACATGTCCACCCGGTCTGGCTTTGATCTCTGGAAAGGAAAAGATCTGTCCGGTCACCTTCGACATAGAAGAGGGTTAAGACAGTTGCGATCCGTCCCTCTTCTTCACTTGTTGGGCGTAATAATCAAGGGAAAAAGTCCCAAGTAGTTACAGAACGCCGAATACGCCAAGGTAGCTAGTCTTGAATACCCTGCAGCTGTTGGCGAGGAGTCACTGGTTTCGGCGACGGCAATCTTGTAGATTCTATGCTGTGGACTTTGACCTGGGATTTTTGATCCAGGTCTGTATACCTGGTCCGGGGTAGGTAGAACGGGAGTCTGACAAGGATGCCATACCTGACTCAGACTGTTCCGAAGCGTCTCTCCTCCGAGCTGAAAAACGGATATTGTAAGAAAATACAGGTGGTTTAACTCGAAGCTGAGATGCTTGAGGGAGAAAGAATCCAGAGGTCTCGAGGACTTGCAGAGAAAATGGATCACTGCAAGTAGTGGCCATTCTTTTATTCATCAACAGCGAGTGATTGGACTCATGCCAGTATTCATCTCGATCATTGTCGTGTATGAATGGGGTTGTCCCTGTCTAACAAAGATCTTGACCAACTTAGATTCACCACACTGCTTCATATCGACTGAGGTCATACATCCCAACAGCGTCGATTCCTTTCAAAAATCAAATTCGATTAATTGTTTTAATGTGCTCGGTAGTGTATGCTTGGTATCTTTGATGCTGGCCAGCAATGTTATTCTGTCCCGGCCCTAAATGATGCTCATGGTTTATATGGTTACGCAACATAGTCCCACCCGATAATCGCAGTGTTGTTTCTCGCCTTGACTTACAAGCATATATGTCCACTGCTCTCTAGATATCGCAGAAAGCCTTCCTCCAGCTGCCCTGAGACTATGCTATTTTGGATTCACGAAATTAGTGCGGCATTGCGCAATCAGTGCCCTCAATAGCATAATCATAGCGCCGGATGGCTCCAATTGTCGATGATTTGCACCAACCTGGAGAGTCGGTGGACATTTCTATAGCATGCTCCAGTATACCAAATACGGAGTACTGTTGTGTAATGAATATGCAGTCACCCCCTGCAATCGCCGATTTTCTCGAGCCACCAATGGAGGGACGCAGTGCACAGATCCCTTGCGATGCATCGCTGCAATAGTGGCGGGATCTACATTTCCTAAAGCAGCCCCGCAGCTCGGCGACTCGGGAGGTGGGCAATGCCTCCGCTTGCTTCCGTTTGCTTACCCCGCTCCCGCCTTATAAGTTCAGCCCAGCTTGTCGTGCCAGACTCTCTTCCGCAACACAACACAACTCTTCTTCTCACACCACGTCTCCCATCTCCATCTTGCGAACAACCGTCATGATGGCGTGAGTCTTTCCTTTCTTTTCTTCTGTCGGTCTCTATGACCGTCCTGTCGACCTAACATCTCTAGGACCCCCCCACCCGACGATGTCTACTACAATCTAGGCACCTACACCCGCACAGTCACCACCACCTCCCCCGCGGCCCAAACCTGGTTCACCCGCGGCTGGCAATGGGCCTACAGCTTCAACCACGAGGAAGCCCTGCGCTGCTTCGAGACCGCCACCAAACATGACCCCAAATGCGCCATGGCCCACTGGGGCATCGCCTATAGTCTGGGCCCCAACTACAACAAAGCGTGGGCCTTCTTCGACCGCGCCGATCTGACAGTGAGCATCACCAAAGCTCTGGGCGCCCTGACCCACGCCCTGGAACTCGCCAACGACCCCTCCACCAAGACCACCGCGGCCGAAAAAGCCCTCATCACCGCCCTGTTCCCCCGCTTCCCGCGCTGGTCCGCATCCACCGGCGCCTCCGCCACCGACAGCAACTTCCCCATCGACTTCGCCCGCCTGAACCAAGCCTACGCGGACGCCATGCGCACCGCCTGCAAAGAACACCCAGACGACATCGACATCACGGCCCTGCTGATCGAAGCGCTGATGTGCATCTCGCCGCGCGGGCTGTGGAACCTGACGACGGGGGAGCCCAGCGGGCGCCACACGGTGGAGGCGCGCCAGCTGATCGAGTCCGCGTTCGCCACCGGCCCCAAAGCCCAACACAACCCGACCCTGTGCCACCTGTACATCCACCTGATGGAGATGTCGCCGTACCCGGAGATCGCGCTGCCGGCCGCGGACCGGCTGCGGCGCGCAGCGCCCGACGCCGCCCATCTCCTGCACATGCCGACACACATCGACATGGCGGTCGGCGACTACCGGCGCTCGGTGGAGTCGAACTCGGACGCGATCCGCGCGGACGAGACGTATGTGGCCGGGTGCGTGGCGGAGGGGCGCACGGGCGCGGGCGTCGGCGGCGCGCTGTACGTCGCGTACCGCGTGCATAACATCTGCGCGAAGTTGTACTCTGCGCTCATAGCAGGGCAGTTCGCTGTGAGTATGGAGGCCGTACAGCAGTTGGAGGGACTGGTGACCGAGGAGACGCTGCGGATCAAAAGTCCCCCCGTCGCGGACTGGGTGGAGTCGTTCCTGGGAAACCGCGCGCATGTGCTGGTGCGGTTCGGCCGGTGGGAGGAGATTCTTGGCCTGCAGGAGCCGCGCGATCGTGAGCTGTACTGTTCGACGTATGCGACGGTGCTGTATGCCAAGGGGATCGCGTTGAGTGCATTGGGGAGGGTGGAGGAGGCGGAGGCGATGCAGCGGCGGTTCGATGAGGCCAGGGAGAAGGTCCCGACTACCCGCATCGCGAGTCTGCCGAGCAAGCAGGTCGATGTGTTGGCTGTGGGCGCGCAGATGTTGCAGGGCGAGCTGGAGTATCGCCGGGGTGAGGTGGATCAGGCGTTTGAGACGTTGGCGAGCGCGGCCGAGCTGGAGGATGGTCTGCCCTACGGGGATCCGCCGCCGTGGATGCAGCCGGTCAGACATGCGTTGGGAGGGTTGTTGCTCGAGCAGGGGCGGGTGGCTGAAGCGGAGAGGGTGTTTCGGGAGGACCTGGGTATGGCGGAGGGGTTTCCGCGGCGGAAGGGCCGGCTCAATAATGTCTGGGGATTGCATGGGTTGCATGAGTGTCTGGTGAGGCAGAAGAAGTTGGGTGAGGCGCGGCTGATCGAGCCGGCCCGGGATCTGGCGATGGCGGCGGCCGATGTGCCCATTGTGACCTCGTGCTATTGTCGGCTAAGCGCGGTGGAAGCAGGGAAGTGTTGTGAGTGTGGGTGCTGAGGACTAAAAGAGATTAGCATCCACGCGATGGATGGAAGTCGATTCTGGCCGCTAGACAATCAGTACGTACAGCAAATGAAAAGCCCTCACGTATGACATTGGGACATTCCATACGGACCGATTCCATGTGGAACGTCGCCACTCGCCTGGGGCGGGACTTGCATCCCATTGTCTGCATGAGAAGATGTTCGGGGTAGAACGTGCTTCTTCCATGGAGTAAGTACCAAGACTCAGAAGGATAATGTGATATGGTGTTGGGGTGGGTGGTGCTGTGGTGTGTAGTGCTGTGAGTGTGAGTGAGTACTGGTGGTGGTGGTGGTGGTGGTGCCAGTGGTTGTGGTGCTAGTGATATTAGAGGCAGAGCCGGCGGGCGGTTGCCTTGGTCTGAACATCAACCTCATTCTCCCTCTACTCCCATCAACATCTCATTCACCAAATAATTGGCCGGATCCCAACCACCATCTTCCGGCTTCCCTCATGACCAGTCCATCCTCGCTTTGCTAGCCGGCTGGCTTCCTACCTACAATGGCACATATCCCCTCTGACGCCATCATCGCACTCTGGACTAACTTCGCCTCTCTCATTCCTCACACGGAATCTACTCTCGTTCTCGGGCGCATAACATCTCCCACTGCATGGGGGATTCCCTCATCGTGTTGATCGGGAATGCTTCAGACGTCAGAGGAATCGCTCCGAGTCATGTTCGCAACTTTAATCTTATCCGGCTTCAACAAGCTCGAATAGTTGTTAAACCCCTAGTTGGGTTGAATTACATTCCCATCCAGGCTCATGATCCTGCATGATACCTGTTTAGGTTGCAGATCTGCAAATGGGTTCCAGCTCACATTCCAAGCGGCGGGGGAATTCCGGTGTGAAGAGCCTACGCCATGCGGATGCCTACAGTCAACTAAGTAAGTATTGAAAGGTGCTTAATGACAGGATGACGTGCATCAGTTGCATATATACTCGGTCTCGCCGCCCAGGAGTGTGTCTAACGGTACACTGTCGCAGCTTTTCTGCGAGTTGACTAGCCATGTTGCAGACATTGTCGGACCTTCCGATCGTCTATTGCCTTCAATCCTTGCGTCACAATCGTGGGGAAACACACCACGATGCTTCATCAGCAAATGTTACGAGACCCACTAGCCCAGATACCAAGGGCGCTTCAGCCAGCCATGACTGGGAGGCCCACAGTGCCAACCCGATGAACTGGCCGTTGTCGCGCAAGGTATTCACCGCCAGCGTGATCTACGCCTATACGTAAGTCTGCCGAGTCGATCTCTGGCCATGCTCGATCGTACTCACTGCGTCAGCTTCGTGGTCTATGCGGGATCCGCAATGTACATGTCGGCTGTGCCGGTGCTGGTCAAGCAGTTTGGGATGAGCGAACAGCGGGCTTTGCTCGGGCTATCCGCCTATGTTCTGGGCTGTAGGTATACACCTCTTCCAGGTTTTGAGTCGTCTGACAAGTTTAGACGGCGCCGGCCCTCTCCTGTGGGGTCCGATGAGCGAGATCCCCTCTGTCGGTCGCTCCGTGGTATACTTCAGCAGCTTTGTGGTCTTCATCGCCACCACGGCGGGCGCCGCCAGCGTGGACAATTTCGGCGCGTTCGTCTTCCTGCGGTCGATCCAGGGCTTTTTCGGCAGCCCGTGCCTGGCCAACGGGGCCGCCAGCATGCACGACATGTTCAACGAGACCCAATACCCCTACGCGCTGGGGTTCTGGACGGCGGCGGCGTACTGCGGGCCCGCGCTGGGCCCGTTGCTGACCGACCACCTCGTGTATCAGCTCTCGTGGCACTGGTCCATCTGGCTGATCGCGTGCATGTCCGCGCCGGTGGGGGTGTTGCTGTTCGTGCTGCCGGAGACGTACGCTCCCACCGTCCGGCTCCGGCGGGGGATTGCCCATACCGACGCGACCATCAGCGCCTGGGCCCGCCTCAAATTCTACCTCGTCAAGCCGGTGCAGATCACCCTGCAGGACCCCGCGGTGCTCTTTGCCAACCTGTACACCTCCTTCATCTACTCGAGCTACTACATCTTCTTCGACTCGTTTCCCGTGGCGTACCTAGAGGGGTACCAGGTCTCAACAGGGACGTTGGCCTTGTTCTATCTGAGCGTGCTGGTGGGATGCGTCCTCGCCGCGGCGGTGTACTTTCTGATCCTGGTGCCGTACATCTTCTCCCCCCGGCCGCCTGCAACCGACCATGAAACCAAATCCGGCCCTTCCAGTGAAACCCCCCACATCAACAACATCAACAACAACAACAACAACAACAGCAAAAACAACACCGCCCCACCCCCGGAACGCAACCTCCTCCCCGCCCTCCCAGCCACCATCTTCCTCCCCGTCGGCCTCTTCCTGTTCGGCTGGACCGCCCGCCCCGGCGAGATCCACTGGTTCCCCAGCCTGATCGGCGTGGTCCTCTACACCGGCGGCGTCTTCGTCATCTTCCAGTGTCTATTCCTGTACCTGCCGAAGATGTACCCGCGGTACGCGGCGAGTCTCTTCGCGGCGAACGACTTCTGTCGGTCGGCGCTGGCGGCGGGGTCAATCCATTACGGGGTGCCCTTGTATCGGAATCTGGGGGTGGGGAGGGGGTCGAGTGTTTTGGGGGGGGTGTCGGTGTTGGGGGTGGTGGGGATGGCGGGGATTGTGGTGTTTGGGAGGCGGTTGAGGGAGGGGAAGGGACGGTTTCGGAATCCGGAGATTCTTTAGGCGGTCTTTTCTGGTGGTATGGGGGATTTCGAGGGCGGTTTGAGTGGTGGGGTGGGTGCCAGAGGGTGCTGGATGATTGATGCTGTCGCTCTGGTTGGCTTTGCCTGTAATGCTGGACATAGAGCTGCATTGATGGGCAGGATAGCATCGAGAACCTTGACCATAACAGCAACAGGTACTAGGTAGTACTAGGGTGTGATCTATACTGGTTAAGAGCTAGCTCGGACTATCCTTAGCCAATTGTTTATAATGAAATGCAACAGTTAGGATTAGTTCCGATACATCCATTGCGATTTGTTCAGATAACTTTCATGTGGGGAATGGTTTAGTCCCTCGAACAAGGTTAAGTCATAAAAGTTGTACCGCAATTTGCGACCAGCGTGCAACCCTCATCCTCATCCCCCTTGACCATGTTTCCATAATGCGTCATGATCTAGAGTTGATGCGAGGCAGCAAGATAGCAGTGCCCACCCGCCCGCATCCCGAACCTCCAGCTCACTTCCGCCAACATTCCCATCCATCCGAACCCTCCAAACCTGAAAATTATTGATTGCCTATTAAACAGTATTCCCAAATTACCCAATAAACCAAGACCGCCCACTTACGCAACCTGCCCCTCCCCCCTCCAACACATCCAATCTCATCCACCCCCAGCCAAGTGTCGTGTGGGCTACAACCACCAAACCCCGACCCCCACCGCCGCCAACCCGACCCCCACAACCGCCATCCTCCCCACAAACCCCGGCATCGACTTCCGCTGCTGCACGCACGCCGCCCTCACCGCGGCCGTGGGCTGGCGCACCCCGCTTCCCGAAACCTCCAGCCCCGCGTTCCGGTCGGGGAAGACCGGCGGCGCGAGCAGATGCACCACCGGCTCGAGGAGGCTGCCCGTCACGAGGAAGGTGATGTGCAGCATTGGCGGGAAGGCTGCGCCCGTGAGCAGGGTCTTGAGGACTGATGGCGAGGTCGGGTGGGAGACACCCCGCCACAGGGCGAGGGTGAATGCGCTGATCGTCGCGCAGAGCAGCAGCGCGCTGAACCCGATGCCGTTGTCCCAGAGGTTGTGGGACAGGTTCTGTAAGGAGGTCGGGGCGGCCGCGGCGGTGCGGTTGGAGGTGTTGGTTGTGCTGCCGGTGACGAAGGAGCCTTTCTTTGGGCGCGGGGAGATGAGGTGGAAGCGGAGGAGGGCAAGGAGGTGTGCTGTTTTTTGTTGTTAGTGGGTTTGGGGTTGGGGTTGGGGGGAGAGGGGGTAGGAAAAAGGGACTTACCTCCGGCGAGCCAGGTGTTCTCCAGATGGGCGAAGGGGGCGCTTTGGAAGTCTGTGTGCGCGGATTGCAGCGCGGCGAAGAGCCAGCTTAGTGTCACGTGGGCTGTGGCCAGAATGAGCTGGGGTTTGAGGTGGGTGGGGGTGGTGGGGATTAGGGGCTGCGCGGTGAGGAGGAGAGCGGGCACCGCCACGAAGATCGCGAGCAAGGCGACCAGCCGGCCCGTGATGGCCAGCCCGTTCAGCACGATCCCCCACTGCATCGCGCGGGACATGGTCGCGTTGGTGGGGGCGACCAGCACGCGGGTCTGCTGCGTGTGCCCGATGTGCCAGCGGCTCTGCTGCGCGATGTGGCCCGCCAGCGAGGTCGGCACGAGCCCGAACTGCAGCGGCTCCTGTACCTGGATCGTCTCGTGGCCCAGGCCCTGCAGCACCAGCGACAGCTGCCAGTCCTCCGAGAACGAGTAGGTCGGGTACCCGCCGGCGTCGACGATGGCGCGCCGCCGGAACAGCGCCCCGGACCCGGCGTCGATCGCGCGCCGCTGCAGATCCAGCTCCGTGTTCTGGCAGGTGTAGAAGTGCAGCCGCGACTGCGAGAACGGGTCCCCGCGCGGCAGGTTGTAGAAGTACTGGCGCGTGGTGACCAGCACCGCCTCGGGCGTCGCCAGCAGGTGCGGCAGCGTCGCGCGCAGGAACTCCGGCGCCGCGATCGAGTCCGCGTCGAAGATCGCGCAGAACTCCGGCGGCGTCTTCGCCTGCAGCGTCTGCAGCGCGTAGTTCAGGTTGCCCGATTTCGCGAACACCTGGCCCGTCTGCCGGCCGCGCGAGTGGTACGACAGGTGCGGCCAGCGGGCTTGCAGCTCCGTGACGGCGGAGCGCAGCGCCGCCGACCCGCCGTCGTCCAGCACGCGCACCCGGAATCGGGTCGCCGGGTAGTCCAGCGTGCACGCCGCGCGGATCGTGTCCAGGATCACCTCGACGGGCTCGCCGCAGCAGGGCAGCAGGACTTCGACGGTGGGGAGGTTCTCATCGCCTTGCAGACGGAGGCGCTTGCGCGGCGAGTTGGGCGGCGCGCGGCCCGATGCCACGGTGAGGAGCTGGTCCTGTCGCGATAGCACTGGGAGGCGGTTAGTGGTGTTTCGCATCCGATGGTTTTAGGTGGGGAGTGCACTCACGCGCGAACATCCCCTCGATAGCCAGCGTCGCCCACATCTGCCATGTCTGCACGGGCGAGCTCAGGATCGACACCAGCCGCAGCACGAAATACGCCTGGAACGTCCAGACCGCCGTTTGCGCCACACAGTACAGATAGCCGCGGTATTTCATGCCGGACAGGATTCTGGGGTCCGGGGGGAGTTCCTGGACATGGTAGCCTCCAGTCGACATTTTGCTGCACGGGGTGTGGAAGATGCAGCTGCGCGGTCTTTTGCAATCTGCTTGCTCTGGAGAGTGAGTCTCCGATTCTGCGGACAGAACCAGCGTGCCACTTAATCCTCAGCTGCGGACGGTGGTCATGGAGAAGAGTATTGGCAGTCGCGAGAGGTGTGAGAGAAGGGAAGAAAAGAAAGAAAGAAAGAAAAAATCGCGATGAACTCCCTGGCCGTCGCAAGGAGGTTTTGTGCGCCGCCGCCAGCTCGAGGCCATTTTAGTTCTGGAATTTACCACCTCCGATGATCCACTTATTGCCGGATCGGGGCGATTCTGTAAACATTCACTTGCACAGTTGGGGGGCACGGATGCGGGGAGGAAGTTGCCGATTGGCAGGTTGGCAGGTCGGCGGCTTCACCGCCTCGGGTTCCAAGGTTGTGGTTGTGTTGAGGGCGTTGGGAGTTGGTTTTGTGTTGTGATGCTAAATCAGCTTGGTACAGTAGTCGTGGTGGTGGTATGGTAGTACTGGTAGCAGTAGTTCTAGACTGGGTCTGGGTCTGATCGTGGTGACCCTCCCATCAGTTATCCCTTCCTTCATGCCTCGGGAGATCGTCCAACTGGAGGGTTTCCACTGCTGATCCTACTACAGCATGGAGTCTGATGCAGTACTCCGTACACAGACATAAAATCCTCACCATGGATGCCCTCGGTCTCTGTCTCTGCAGGTTTACCCCTATTACATCCACACGTGGCTTGACGGGAGGCCAACCTTTGCCACCGCAGCAACAGCAACAAACCCCCTATTGCGGGTTGCGGGTTGCAGACCGCCTCGCCTGTCTCTCTCACCCGTTCTGTCATTCTCCGGCCCGATGTTAGCGCCTTGGGGTCTTCCGTTGCTTCCGGCTGGGTTGTCCTCCAGGCTGCCGAGTGCCAACGAGTGCTCTGCAATCTACGTGTGTCGTTGCATAGTATGGATCGGTTGTTGTCTCTGCTACATTAGAAGATGAGCTAATCAGCCGATTACTCGGACGTCCCTTACTCGTTTGTATCTTACTCGTTTTTTGGATTATACTCATGGGTCAAAGTTGATCTAGTGAAGAATTGTTGAAGAAAGATGCACGGTGCATGTTCAGCATTGCACCATGATTTGCCCCTGCGCAAACTGCTAGCCCGCTTTGCATTAGCGCTTTTGTTGCTGGTGGACTCGGGGTCTCGGTCAGGTGACTAGGCTCAGCCAATGGGCAAGCTGGATTTGTCTTATGTCAATTCTGAGTCAGCGGATAAGGGTGCGGCTCGCTGGCTATGGCTTCTCCGCGTCGGGTCGATGTCGGCAGATCTGGCGCTGCTTTGCACTCGCTGTTGGAGATCTGGGGATATGTCGTTGGGGTGTTCGTTGCGCACTGCTTATAAGCTATTCTTTGAATATACAGGTGTTTCTCAAGAATACAACGTATTCCTCCTTGTCTAGAGCGCTTGATGGCTCTTTTTGTATTTGAGCTACGGGCAGCGTCCACGGGCGGACGAGAATATATAGTCGGAATCAGCACTTGGCCATCGTGACGCCTATCCTTCTTACGGCCCAAGTGGTGGTTATCTTGCTGGAATTTACATTATCGATATTCAACTTGTCACTATGCTCACCTTACATGCATCTTCTATACAACATGGTGCTATCAATCATCTGTCCTAGCAGGTGAAGCTTTCCCCTCACTCATGACGTCGCTCCACTCCTTCCTGTCGACCCACCGCGGACCGCCCGTCAGCATCGCGTTTCGCGCTCGTCTTGGCTCCGAGGCTGACCAATGCACCGGTCATCTAGACCGGCGATCAGATGTTTACACTGCCGATAAAACAAACAGGTTCGCGCGTGGGATTGAGGCCCAGATCAGCATCACAACGAAGACGACCAAGGGATAGCCGATTCCTGGGTGTTGACTTTATCAACCCGATCGAACCAACAACGAAATGTCATCAATCCTGTTGCAAAATGCGACAATTCTGGTCCCCTCCGGCGACCAGAATGACTACGTCGTTCCGCTCCACAACCACTCGCTGCTCATCGAAGGAGCCAAGATCTCGCAGATCGCACCTCAGATTAGCCCGCCTGTCGAATCCACCCAAGTTATCGACTGCACCGGGAAGATCATCTCGCCTGGGTTTATCGATACACATCACCACCTCTGGCAGACCCAGCTCAAGGGACGTCATGCAGACCATACCTTGATCGAGTACATGCCCACGGGTGGGTAGTATGCCTCTTCTGCAGAGAACCAAATACTGAATTACGTCAGGAAACCTGCAACAGGTCAACTTCACACCAGAAGATATCTTCTGGGGAGAGCTGGGAGGCTGTCTCGAGGCCTTAGATGCAGGAACTACCACCGTGGTGGACCATGCTCACATGAATGTCTCCCCCGCTCATTGTAAGGCTTGCTATACCCCCTGCTTACCACGCCGTCGTAACTAACAAGCCCAACAGCCGTAAATGGAATAGCAGCGACAGCTTCCTCAGGCATCCGATCTATCTTCTGCTACACACCCACCTCGACGGTCAAGAAGTGGAAGCCAGAAATTGAGATGAACACCAGCCTACTCGATGAATGGGTCCTCCAACAACTCGAGGAGCTGGCCGCAGCGGCGCCGTTTGGCGACGGGCGCGTCCAGCTGGGTCTGGCTTTTGACGGGTTCATGCTGCCGAAGGAGATGGTCGTCGCGTTGTACGATCGTGCCCGTAAAGCGGGAGTGAAGGTGATCACCACCCACTATGTGCGTGGATATTTCAGTAAGCTCAACCCGATCTTTCCGCCTTGGCTCCGAATGCAGACACTAAGTAAAATAGGCGACGGATCCCTGGTCGACCTCCTCGAGGCCTACGGCCTCCTGGGCCCCGACATTCTTCTCTCGCACGGCAATAACCTCTCGGCCACCGACATCGAGAAACTCTCTGCTGCGAAAGCATGGATCTCCGCCACCCCCGACACCGAACTGCAGATGGGCCACGGGAACCCCGTCTGCTTCCAGGATGGCTGCACGAGCATCACTGCGCTCGGGATCGACTGCCATAGTAACAATTCCGGCGACATCGTCACCCAGATGCGCCTGGCGCTGCAGAGTGAGCGCGCCCGCCGGAATGAGAAGCTTCTTGCGCAGGGGAAGTATATGCGGTCATTGGACGTGTCGGTGCAAGATGCCTTCCGGCTGGGGACGATCCAAGGCGCCCGCGCGATCGGCATGGCAGATCAGCTGGGGTCGATTGAGGTCGGGAAGCTTGCGGATCTGGTGGTCTTTGACGGCGAGAGCCCGGGGATGATCTGCGCTGCGGAGAAGCATCCGGTCGCGGCTATTGTATTGCATTCGTCTGTGCGCGACGTGGATACGGTCATTGTTAACGGCGAGATTCGCAAGCAAGGCGGTCGGTTGGTGCCGGTGGACATTGACTCTTCATTCCCGGAGGTGACGATCGCAAAACGAAGGGTGGAATGGAAGGATGTAGCGAAAGAGTTGCGGGACAGTCAGGAGAGGATCCAGAATGCTGCGGTGGAAGCTGGGGCTGTGGGAACTCGAGTGTCCGAGGCTTTGAGTATCTTCCATATGGACTCGAGCAAGTTTGTTTGAGCTGTGAGGCGTCGAGGATCTCTGGGAGGGTTGCCTTAGCCTTCGAGTGAAGGGGGTTGTGGTAATGGACGTAGCCTACCAATATACCTCCGTGCCCTATAAAGCACGGACTGCCCATCCGATCAGCTCTCCTGTTAATATGGCGACTCGGTCCGACGGCCGATTATGTTATAGAGATAGATCGAGGAGGGTGGATGCGAGCAGAGAAATGGCGTCATGAGGCAGAGACCAGAGGCCGGCAGGTGACACCCTGAATGTTCAGGTACCCGTGCGGCAGCGGCACGTGGAGGGACTAGCACTGACTAGTTAACTAGCAGGGATCGCAGGCAGTAGTGAGTCTTTTCGTCACCTTCCCCTCATCTCTACTTCTTCAACCTATTACCTGTTCTTCATCGCTCCTCCAAGCCCCATCCCCTGCATGAAGGAGTGAACACCATTCTGCAAGTGATAGCCTGCCTTAGCGTCCTGACATCTCCGCCCGGGATTTATCCATATTACCCCTGATCAACAGGGGAGTGCGACGAGGCTTCGACGGAGGAACGTCCGTGGACAATCCGTTTCTTCACTTCTTGGCCCATTTCGGACGCCTTCCGCTTGCCAAGGTGCGTGTCACACGATCGTCCGTGCCTGTGATTAGCTGACAGGCTAATCAAAGCCATATTGCATTACAGCTACCTCTGTTGCCTACACTGCATCTGCGCGATGGATCATATCACCATGATTCCCACCAAGACACCAATCCGGTCGAGCGGCAAGGCGGGGTAAACTCCGAGGAGGGCATGACCGGAAATTAAACCTGAGTTAAGCCAAGAACAGGTATCGGAATGTCTACACACCAGGTTCCTGCCGTCATGAGGAGGGTGACTTAAATAGGACCTGGGGTGCACCCACTTCTCTCCGTCGATCAACCGAGCTTGAGCCATTAACCACCATCTTCAGCGCCATGGCCCGATCAAGCCTGGCCTTGCTATGTGCAGCCCTTCTGGGCAAGTTCGCAGACGCCGCGGCGTCGCAGGCCTACACGTGGAAGAATGTCGTCACAGGTGGTCTGTTCTCTCTGGTCACCTACCCTGGAATGAAGATTGCTGACTGCGACGCAAACAGGCGGAGGAGGTTTCACTCCCGGTATCGTCTTCAATCCCTCCGCCAAAGGGGTGGCGTACGCGCGCACGGATATCGGAGGCGCGTACCGTCTGAACTCGGACGACACATGGACCCCGTTGATGGATTGGGTGGGAAATGATACCTGGTGGGCTGCCCTGCTTTCCTGGCAACGGTATGGACAGTTTGGCTAACGAGCTCAGGCATGACTGGGGCATCGATGCCCTTGCCACGGATCCCGTCGACACTGACCGTCTGTACGTGGCGGTGGGCATGTATACCAACGAATGGGACCCCAATGTGGGATCGATCTTGCGCTCGACGGACCAGGGTGATACCTGGACTGAGACGAAGCTGCCGTTCAAGGTTGGCGGGAATATGCCTGGTCGCGGCATGGGTGAGGTAGGTTGCGTTCCCTTCCTGGAGTTGAGTGGAAAGCTGATGCAATGCAGAGATTAGCGGTCGACCCAAACAAGAATAGCATTCTCTACTTTGGAGCGCGGAGTGGGCACGGCTTGTGGAAGAGTACGGACTATGGAGCGACCTGGTCGAATGTCACTTCCTTTACCTGGACTGGTATGATTCTCCGGTGCTGGCAAGTAGGGCTTGGCTAAGTGTGTGCAGGAACGTATTTCCAGGATTCGAGCTCGACCTATACTTCGGACCCCGTGGGTATCGCTTGGGTGACTTTTGATTCGACCTCTGGTAGCTCGGGGTCTGCGACACCGAGGATTTTTGTCGGTGGGTAACTCCTCGCAAAAGCGGAATCATCTTCTGACGTGTCGATAGGCGTTGCGGATGCTGGCAAGTCGGTTTTCAAGTCGGAGGATGCGGGTGCTACTTGTGAGTTTGATTCAGCCCGCAACTGAAAGCAGCGCTGACTCTCCAGGGGCTTGGGTGTCCGGAGAGCCTCAGTACGGCTTCCTCCCGCACAAGGGGGTCTTGTCCCCTGAGGAGAAGACGCTGTACATCTCCTACGCCAATGGAGCTGGTCCTTACGATGGCACAAACGGCACGGTCCACAAGTACAACATCACCAGCGGAGTGTGGACGGATATTAGTCCCACCTCCCTTGCGAGTACCTACTACGGTTACGGTGGTCTGTCGGTTGACCTCCAAGTTCCTGGCACCTTGATGGTGGCTGCACTCAACTGCTGGTGGCCGGATGAACTCATCTGGCGTAGCACTGACTCTGGTGCGACCTGGTCCCCTATTTGGGAGTGGAACGGTTATCCCAGCATCAATTACTACTACAGCTATGATATCAGCAACGCCCCCTGGATCCAGGACACGACTTCAACCGACCAGTTCCCTGTTCGCGTTGGGTGGATGGTTGAGGCCCTTGCTATTGATCCGTTCGACTCCAACCACTGGCTCTATGGTACGGGTCTGACAGTATATGGCGGACACGACCTGACGAACTGGGACTCGAAGCACAATGTGACGGTCAAATCCCTGGCGGTCGGTATTGAGGAGATGGCAGTGCTTGGACTGATCACGCCGCCCGGAGGACCGGCGCTGCTGTCCGCTGTTGGCGACGACGGTGGGTTCTACCACTCGAATCTGGACGCAGCGCCAAACCAAGCGTTCCACACGCCGACCTACGGCACGACCAACGGAATCGACTACGCCGGCAACAAGCCCTCCAACATCGTCCGGTCCGGAGCTAGCGACGATTACCCGACTCTCGCCCTGTCATCGAACTTCGGCTCGACTTGGTATGCAGACTACGCCGCCTCCACCAGCACCGGCACCGGAGCGGTGGCTCTGTCCGCAGACGGTGACACGGTGCTTCTCATGTCCAGCACCTCGGGCGCGTTGGTGTCGAAGTCGCAGGGCACCTTGACCGCAGTCTCGTCTCTCCCGTCCGGGGCAGTCATTGCCTCGGACAAGTCCAACAACACGGTCTTCTATGGTGGATCAGCAGGCGCGATCTACGTGTCAAAGAATACGGCGACCTCCTTCACCAAGACCGTGACCCTGGGGTCCAGCACAACCGTCAACGCCATCCGCGCGCACCCCTCCGTCGCCGGAGATGTCTGGGCGTCGACCGACAAGGGCCTCTGGCATTCCACGGATTACGGTAGCACGTTCACGCAGATTGGCAGCGGCGTCACGGCGGGCTGGAGCTTTGGGTTTGGCAAGGCGTCCTCCACGGGCAGCTACGTCGTGATCTATGGATTCTTCACCATCGACGGTGCCGCGGGGCTGTTCAAGAGCGAGGACGCGGGCACCAACTGGCAGCTGATCTCGGATGCGTCGCACGGGTTCGGCTCTGCGTCCGCCAACGTGGTGAACGGCGATCTGCAGACCTACGGCCGCGTGTTCGTGGGAACCAACGGCCGGGGCATTTTCTACGGCAATCCCAGCGGGAGCCTGCCGTCCGCCACGGCGACGGCGACGGCGACCACCTCCAAGACCTCGACGACGGTGTCGACGACGTTGAAAACCACCACCAGCGCCTCGACCTCTTCTTCCAGCACGACCGTGAAGACCACGACTAGCTCTTCCAGCACGACCTCGAAGGCCAGCTCAACTACCACAACGACAACGAAGACTACCGGCACCACAACAACCACGTCGAGCGGCAGCACCGCGACGGCCTCGGCGTACGCGCAGTGCGGCGGCAGCGGCTGGACGGGAGCGACCGTCTGCGTGAGCGGGTACAAGTGCACGTACTCGAATGACTTTTATTCGCAATGTAAGTTTGTTGCGTCAAGCTAGGGGATGATTGCTAACTGAGGGTGAAGGTGTTCCATCATGATGACGGGGAAGGAAACGTGATGGAGGAGATTCGTGCCTTGAGTTATTTGGTCGGTGACTGACGTTATAACGTGTTATCTCTGCACTTGTTAGTGAATGTGTTGTTTCATAATATGATCTTGTAATTGAGTGCATCGTGGTATCTCGGATTTAGGGAGTGGTCGGTGGTCGGCGGAGACGGCGGAGACGGCGTAAGCAGAACTGAGGCCGCGGCTCCGGGGCCGGAATAAGTATGTTCCAAGCGATGTGGCGTCGCGGGTCGTACTCGTAACTATGCTGTGCGGTCGGTCCTTGGATATTGTGTGCATGGTTGAGTATAATCTTGCTGAGGAAGGCCGCTCGCATCATTGAAGTTGCTATTCCTCACCGGACCGGATCTGCTGGCAGAATGGCATAATGGTCTCATGATTCCGTGCTCATCTGCATGTTGTAGTTTTTTGGTTGATGCATAACCTGACCTTCCGACAACTATCATGTGGGCATTTCCCGCCATTTGCCACTGCATTGCCATTACACCAGTGTCGAGGGAGAACATACCAAGCGCAAGATCATACATCCCGCAAGGGTCCGTCATGTCCGAAAAGCGTCAAAACCGACCAAAGATATCTACTGTATGGCTACCAGCACGACATGCCATACGGCTTATAGAAGTAGAGGCATGGGGTACTAGTAGAGCTCTACTATGTACAAGACACACCCCCTGCACCCACAATCTCATGCATAGCATATATACTCATACTCCACAGGATCTACCTATGAGCATAAGAAGACAAAAGCACGCGACCACCTACCAAAAAGGCAACGCAAGCCTGACTGCAGTGCCGAATCCCGCAACGCAGTACGCGATTCGATTTCCCAATTTTGGGGTTGTGATAGGCAAAACCCGGAACCTGGGATTGTCTGATGTCTGATCGGGGGGGGTGGATGTCCAGGGGTTTTTGGGAACTACCGTACGGAAGACCACACTCGCAAAGACCGTTAGCCAGGAACCAACCCTACTCCGTAACTTACCTGATGCTGCTAGGTGGGATTTTGTGCAGGGCAGGGGGCACGCACTGGCGGAAAAACAGTGGCCGGGCAGTGGACAGACATGTTCTTGCCAAGGCGGGTTTCACGTTGGGTGGGGTTCCACTATGGCGATGGGCGATGGGCGATGGGCGATGGGCGAAAACTCTACGCTACTGCGCACTGCGCACTGCTGTTGCCGTTGCCGTTGTTTCCGTGCCGCTGTCATTATTTTGACTTTGCACGGTACTGTACTAGATTTATCCGGAAGGTAGGAAGAGTGAATGATTGTTGAGAGTAATTAGGACTGAAGATGTGTAGTTGGTTTCGTTCTCATACAGAGGAAGATCTAGCAGCAGGGGGCAGATGTACTGTACACTCCAAACATCCGCCTCTAAAGATTGCCAGGAATAGATCCAGACCCCGTATAAGCAGTGAAGCACACCAAACAACGTGGCCCAGTCGGCGGGTAAGCAACCACCCGAGCATCGGCCAGACTTTATCTGCCTTTGCTCTGGGTTTCATTGGCCTGCAAACCCCGGACAGCACCCAGTGACCAATTCATATTCCAGAAAGCTTCTCTATCTCGGCAAAAGTCTAACTTGCAGACACCCCACCCCACAGGAATCCGGGGTCTGATGGGCCGGTTAGCCGAGCCGAAGGATCCCGTTGTCCACACTTTCCACCCTTCCAGCGCAGCTCCGTTTCATCCCGATACGCTTGATCCTGCAGGACACCGAGATCGGGTTGGGAGCCTGGAAGGTGATGATGATAGCATTACGGATGCGAGGGGGGCGGGTGGCATCGCCATCTAAGCGAGTTTACCCGTCACTGCCCCTTAAGCTTAAGCTTTGCCTTTCCTCTCCCCCCAGCGGACCTTATCTCTTCTATCTCTGACCTTTGACACATCCTCCCCCTTGTATCTCTGCTATCTCTGCTATCTCTGCCGTTCGTGTGTCTGCCTCACATGGCGGTGCCCTATCTCCCCGAGTACGAGCAAGAGGAGACGGTGATGCCCCCCGCGACGCCGCACCATCTGCGCGAGCATGGTCTGGAACCGGCCAACTCGCCCTTCGCGGGCCGCATCGGCGGCAACCAGGACTTCGTGCTGGACCGCAGCGACCCCAAGAACCTGGCGGAGCTAGACCGGGTGCCCGACGCGGCGCCGTGCATGAACGCGCAGGAGATCTTCGATCTGCGCGGGTTCCTGTCGCCGGATCTGTGGAAGTTCGCCATGCTGGAGTTTGTTGGTGAGTTTCGCCTCCTCGCCGTCATAGGGCAACAACGGGGATCGGAGATCGCCCGCGCCTGCGCCCGCGCCCGTGCCCCTGACACCACCATACTATACTGGAAACTCAAATCAGCCCTAAAGCAGCAAGATGCTAATACCCCGAAATAGCCAGCATGCTCAACACCTTCATCTCCGCCTGGGTCACCACGCACCCGTACGCGCCCATGACCGCCTCGACGGCGGCCTCCGGCGTCTACGGGACGGTCACCTTCTTCTCCCCGACCTTCGGCGGCCTGACCAACCTCCTCCTCACGCCCTTGCTCATCTACACCTTCTCCCCCAGCTCGGGCGGCCACATCAACCCCCTCATCACGCTCGCCACCTTCTTCGCCCGCATCATCTCCTTCCCCCGCGCCGTGCTCTACATCCTCGGCCAGACGCTGGGCGGCGCCCTCGCCGGCTTCGCGCTGCACGCCGCCTTCGGCGACCGCAACATCACGGTCGGCGGGTGCTACATCGACACGACCCAGGTGCCGGTCACCAGCGGGCTGGTTATCGAGTTCTTCGCGTGTCTGATCATCGTGTGGCTGTGTTTCGGGGTGGCGTTGGATCCGCGCCAGGCCAAGGTGTTTGGGCCCGCGGTCGGGCCGTGGTTGGTCGGTGTGGTGGTCGGTGTGATTACGTGGGGGACTTCGTTTACCCGGGTGGGGTATATTGGGGCCAGTATGTATCCTTATCTTAGGGGTTGGTTGGAGGGTGATGGGGTTCAGGTGAAGGCTAATGCGACTGATAGGTGTCAACCCGGCACGGTGTTTCGGGGCGTATGTCGCTTCCGAGTTTCCGGGGTATCATTGGATTCATTGGGTGAGTTTGGCCTTACCCCCCTTTGCGGAGTGGGGTGGTTGTGTCCCTTGCCCGAGGCGAGCGCCTAGTAAGGAACACTGCTGACAATACTCAGGTTGGCCCGCTGGCGGCCTCGGTGGCGCATGGGTTCGTGTATTTCGTGGATCCCCTGTGGAAGGATCCTAGGGCCAAGTCGTGAGGAGACAAATGGCTTGCGGATCATTGTACAGTATTGATATGTGTGGTGTCTATTAGCGTGTTCGTTGCATTTCTGGAATGCTTGGCGAATTTCTTCTCGGTTGGCTTGAATAATGATATCTGTACAGCACTGGTTGCTGGACTTCGAACTCCAGGGTTGCTTTCTGCGTATGCCTCTGTCAAGGGGTTTTTGTACGGTTTCTTGTTGGGGCTGAGTTCAGTTGAGTTCAGTGGATCTGTGCAGGTTTGATCATTCTGCTGGTCGGAAACAGTCCAAGGGTCGGTTGTTTTGCCTGGCTCGCCTAGTCAGCAGGTTTGTAGTCCTTAATATGGGGCTGGTGCAGGCCAGTTGTAATCTTTTCTGAGCTTGGGAAGAGTCGGTGTATGGGAAAGATCCTCTTGTTGTGTGCTAATCCATGCAAAAAATTACCACACAGTCGGCGACCGCACAACCACGGCTCCCCTCTTCCCACATGCTCAACGATCACGGCATCCGTCCGCCGAATGATCCCCAGCATATGACCCCCCTCTCCTCCTTGCTCCCCCTCTGCATCAGGGAGGATATTCTTCTGGCTCTCGACGGTTGCAACAGCAAAATCCATCTTCCTTAATTTTGAGCTCCTGCTATGGCTCCAGTGGGAATACTCCGGCAAATTGTACCCCTTGTATCGGTTGCGACTGTTGTTGTATGAGCTCGCAGTGCGGTTGCCAAGCATCAGTTCAAGAAAAGGCTGGAGCATGGGGATGCAGGAAGCGATGATCCCGATGCTGGACTCGATGCATTGCCTCTGATTAGGATTTATTCGTCGGTGGTAATGAATTGGAGGAACAATTTAGTCCAGATGAACAGGTCTGCGGTTCCGTCTGTTGATCGTCGGTTCACGCACTGCAAGAGGGGAAGGGAGCGCACATGTGTAGGCTTCTTGGTCAGCCGGACCTTTCAACTGCGTGCATTTGATGATAGCCATTGCCGTGGCACGAGCATCGCGGACAGTTCATTTATACAGCGAACGAATGCCGAACATACCCCGAGCCGAGGCCTAATGCTGCGCACAGCGTCAGGCGTGTACGCAGCGACATATGAGACTTCATCAGCACGGTGCTGGAATAGTTCACGAGGACTAGATCGACAAATCCGGATAGAGCTATCCATTGCGTTTAGCCTCTTCTCGATCGAAGTCCTTGGGGCAAGTGGCACACCTCCAGTAAAGATGGCGTAGTCAATCAACATCCACAAATTCTTGCAGGTAGCTTTGCCCTCCGCGACAAGGCCGGCCTGCCACGGAGCCCGAGGTGGGTCGCACATGGTGAACAGAATAATGATGGATACTCCAGATATGATCGCTGCCAATGTGCTGAGTGTCTTGGGGCAAACACGTTGAATGTGGCTGGCATTCAGGATCCGGTTCAGCATTGTCGTCACGGCTAGCTTAGGAACGGTGAACGAGATGATGCCGAAGAGAAGACTGAGACAGTTGAGGGAGGTCGCATATTCGACTGTGGCGGCACTCAACAACCACGCGTGCTTTGCGAAGCCGAGTCGGACGTTGATGGTCGTGAGAATGCAGTATACAAGTCCCATGAGCTGGTTTCTTATCAGCTGCGTCGTTCGCGGAGGTGTGGTAGACCTACCAGCTGAAATACAATCAGCCAGTCGTCTAACCCCAGAATGTGCAGCAAGCCTGCTCGGATGTAGATGCGGCCCGTCAGCACGACTATCGTTAGAACTGCCAAGGTCCATAACACGATCAAGAGCGTTGGTCCTTAGGCCACATGAAAACTACTTGCAGCACCATTCACAGATTATCGCACCATCGCTTTGCCCTAGAAACTGTACCCAGACGACCTTCACAGGGATAGTAGCAGGTCCTAGATCTCTATAATGCCTTGGCTCCCTTCGGTAGGGGTCGTGGACCATCGCACCGTCCTTGACAAGAAAGCTCCTATGCTCGTACTTTGGCACGGTTTACTCAGTTTGGTAGTCCCTTATGCTGGGCACATCAAAGGCGACGTTGGTCCACTCCAAGTCGGCAAGTGGCTCCGGCACCAAGCATGGTCCAGCAATCGCTCAGGCAGCCGTTTGAGCTAGCCCTGAAGGTAAAATATGAGTCAGTAAGCCCGCAATAGCCCGAGACCAAAGGATATGACATGACAGGGGTGCGAACGGTAGCTTGCTGATTGGAATGATCAAACAGCCGGCGAGCCGAATGACAGCTCGCCTTGTGGAGCCAAGCCTCTACCCAGCTTCAATTCTCTGTTTGTGCGGTGTTTATCATTCAACTTGTCACCAGATTGTTCGCTAAATTCCTCACTGACCTCATCGGAATCCTGGTAAAAAGGACCGCATCACGATGAAATGTCATTGCCGCGTGGATAGGCTGTACCTGAAAGCATACAGTGTTGAAATAGCCCGGTGGAAGGTGTTAGGAGATTTTAGGGAACCGATCGATCCCTCTCAGGGGCAGATGTTTCATAGATTCCTATAGAGTGAGAGAAAATTAGTAAGTTCGCTAGAAAGACTGGAGAGCAAGCAACAAATCTCTTACTGCTAGATGGTCCTGACAGATGGAAGACACGCGACACAGGCCACCTGAGTCAAAGATAGCGATGCATTCAAATTCAAAGACTGATAAATGATGCGATCACAGGTGTAACGTGAGTCCACGGTCTCGGGAATTGTATTGTGGTCCGGGGAGACGGAGGCGCACATGTCAAGGATATCCTGTTCTCTGCTCCTGCCGAACCATGGCGCTGTCATCTCCACATCTCCCCCGTACTTGTGCGACACCCTAGCTCCGTCTCTTATAGCCCATCATATTGCTCATGGATATTGCTGGCACACTTCGGGGGGTACGAAAACTCATTCTCTCGCATGGCGTCCACGACTTGCCGGGTCAAGCGCTACTGGCGCAAGCCAGGATGGTCCTCCATTATATTAGGACTGTATCGCGCTGGTTGAGCTTCGCTTCAATTCACCACCTTGGAATCTCGATCTTGTGCCGTCACATTAATCTTGTCTTCGTGGAGTACCAGCCAACATGCCAAGTCCAACCGATGCCACAGTGAACGGCCACAACAGCGGCCATATCAAAAAGCCCACGAAAGAAGCTTTCACCAACAACCATGTCACGATCGCTCCCAACGACCCGGAGGAGGTACCTGGACTGCTGAAGAGAATCGCGCTGCACGGGAAGGCTTACCTCACAGAGAATGACGAGCTCGAAAGAACCAAGATACTGAATTCCGCCCGCTCGCTGGTGTATGCCTTGGAGACGCCGCGCGAGGCAGTCATCAGACACTGCTGGTCTCAGGTATGTGTTTTCAGCATACTCTTCCTCAGTCGCGCTTGGCCCGTGTTTTCTTGTTGACGTCCCTCAGAGCTCGCTTTACGCGGCCATTGAGATAGGAGTAGACCTGGATCTTTTCACGGCGCTGTCGCGGGATGACAGGTCCAAGTCTGCAGCTGAGCTTGCAACGGCGACCGGGGTCAGCCAGGGGATACTGTGTATGGGCCGCTTCCATTCCAACTTCAATGTCGGCGTGAGCTAATATCGTCCTGCTCCCTCTAGCACGCATCCTCAAACATCTAGCCGCAATGGGCGTCATCAAGGAGACCGGACCAGACGAATACCGCCGGACCGGGTTCTCTATCTCCATGCAGTCGCCTCGTTACAGCGACGCCTACCCATGCATGTAAGTAACCCCCCGCAACCGAAACAAAACTCCGTCTCACTCTCCCAAAAATAGGACCGGGTGCGTCACGGCAGGAGTGCTCGCCCTCCCCGCCCACCTCAAAGCAACCAACTACATGCTCCCCAACGACGGCACCAAATGCGCCTTCCAGCGCGGCTTCGACACCAACCTCCACTTCTTTGACTTCCTGAAGCAGCACCCCCAGCACGCCAGCGAGTTCAACAATCACATGTCCGTATACCACCAAGGCCGGCCCAGCTGGATGGACTTGGGGTTCTACCCCGTGCAAACCCTGGTGCAGGAAGCCACCGTAACCCCCGACGATGTCCTACTAGTCGACGTCGCCGGCGGAATAGGCCACGACCTGTCCGAGCTCCACCGCAAGTGGCCCGACTTGCCTGGTCGACTGATCGTGCAGGAATTGCCCGAGGTCGTGTCCCAAGCGCGCGAGCTGAACCTGAACCCGAAGCTTGAGCTGATGGAACATGATTTCTTCGAAGAGCAGGTCGTCAAGGGTGCGTCCACTCTCCCCCCCCCTTCCGCATTTCAATTACTGATAAATGGCACAGGCGCAAGAGCATACTACATGCACTCCATCCTGCACGACTGGACCGACGACAACTGCCGCCGCATTCTGGCGAACCTCGTCCCCGCCATGCGGAAGGGCCACAGTAAGCTCCTCATCAACGAAAATGTCATCCCCGAGACGAACGCGTACTGGGAGGCCACGAGCCTGGATATCATCATGATGGCAAATTTCTCGTCGACGGAGCGCACGGAGAGCCAGTGGCGGGCGCTGGTGGAGTCCGTGGACGGGCTGCGGGTAGTGAAGATCTGGACTGCGAGGAGGGGGGTCGAAAGTCTGATTGAGTGTGAGGTTGTTTGAGTGGTTTGGCCTCGCTGTGTGGTTTGCTGGAGGTGGTAGCTTGAGAATGCTGGGCAGTCTGTGCGGGTGGGGTGTGGGTTATGTTGTATTGGGGCCTTTTCTGGCTTTTTTGAGTGTGGGTATAACTATATCAACATCCGGACAAACTGGGTGGTTTCGTGGGGTTGGGTCTCTTGCTTTCTCTTCGGAGGGTTCAGTTGTCCGGATGAGGTGAAAAAGGACGTTGAACGCTGTATCAATGGTCGATTTCTGAGCCCTTCCATCACTCGGCGGATTCAGGATTGTCAACGCGCATCGTGACTAAGTATGGTATCTGCGATGCGCGGGGTTAATTTCACTACCATCCCTTATGTCGAAGAATGAAACCCTTGTTATCTGATATTGGTTGGTGATAGGAACGAGGGGTCCAGCATAGTCAGGAATGAGTAGATTACAATTGAATCAGAGCGAGGTGTCGTCATTGCAGTCTCTTCCAGAGACTGGATAGCGTGATTCTAAATTTTCTTAGGACCTTGGCTCAGCGCCTTTTATCCCTCCATCCCCTCATCTTGCTTGTAACGGCTCGGTGTCGATTCTGGAGATTCGATACATGCTTTTGAATTCCATCGGATCCTTCTGTGGAGGTCGAATCTCGCCCCATGCACAGGAACTGGCTAGTCAACGTCGTGGTTTGGGACGGTGGGGTTGAGTTGAACACATAAAATCCCAGTTGCAGAAACAGGATAAATCCCAGGGACGCTTGAAGACAAGCAGGATATGGGCTGGGTTCAATTATTCAAGAAGAGGTTCTGAAGGAGAGCCGCATGCTTGGATGATCCGGCGGAAGCATCACGTGATGTTTATATGAGGACAGGTTCGATCGGGATAAGATTGGGGTCGCTAAGTACTACGAGGAAGATCCTTGTACAGGTAAATCGATAACGAAGTCCCACCGGGATTAATGTCATGACCATCACGCAAGTACCTCGAGGTAAACTAAAACATGTACCGAAAGGTCGGCGATTTATCTCCCATGGCTCTCAACTCGTCAATCGTATACTCCGGTCGCAGCGCGACCAACTTATCCACTCGTCGAGCATTGATCCGCTGATAGGCCACCCTCATCCCGATCACGCAGATCACGCCCATCAGAGCGAATCCCAACTCAAGGGAGTGGCCGAGGATATATCGAGGGGCGTCTTGTGTGCGATAAAAGTGCGACGCCATCGCTGCAACAAATTAGTACTTTTGGAAGATGATGGGGCTGCAGGCAGCAGAATGGGTATCAGCATACCTCCTGCGAAGTTGCCAATGCCAATATACATGGCCATTCCGGCAGCGCGTTTGTGACTGGCGGCGAGATTGGTACTGAGCCAGGTAACAAGGTTTGGAATAGCAGGGTAGATTCCTTTGGATTGTTAGTTATGAGGCAGGTAGACTAGAAACGAGATTCGTACCGAGAACTGCAAGGAAGACTCCGAAGTAGATCACTCCCGGAACCCATGTCAAAGATCCCGCTAGGCAAACTAGAAATCCACAGACGATGCAGCAGAGATGGAACAGAAGCAGCGGGGAGCGCTGACCCATGCGGTCGGAAAACCAAGCGGACACGATAGCGGCGACTGCGGCAGCCACGTAGGGAGGGACCTAGGCAGTGAGATTGAGATCACATCGAAATGGAGATAAGAAGCATACAGTCAATAACTGGGCCACTGAGGATGTGAAACCGAGGTCCTTGATGATCGTAGGGAGGAAGAAGGAAATGCCGTACAACGGACACACCATGGCGAGGTAAACTGTGACAGTCAGCGGTGATTCTGGTGGATGACGGTGCCTATGAGATGGTGCGTACTAAGAATCCCCAGATAGACCTGCCAATCGCACACAGCATCCCAGACATACTTCCACCTGAACTCAATGGTATCTGGCACGACGTTTCCGTTGTCGGACCACTGCAACTGCAGGCGATACAAGATCCAGGCTCTCTCCTCGTTTGTAAGGAATGAGGCGGTGTCTGGGTAGTCGTACAGAAGGAAATAGGCCCCAACCGCAACGACGACCGTAGCAATACCCTCAATGATGAAGATCCAGCGCCAGCCAGAGTAGCCTCCGACGCCATCCATTTTCTTGCAGCTCATTAGAATGTAGTCAAGGGCAGTGGGGTTGCGGCACATACTCCGATCGCAAAAGCTAGAATCCCTGAAAAAGCACCTGCAAAACTTGCGGCGCTGAAGAATATCGCTTGGCGCAGCTGTGCCTCGTGACGGGAATACCACATGGTGATGTAGTAGGCTACTCCAGGGTAGAGACCGGCTTCTACAAGAACATCAGGACACATCCATCGTTACCCCGCTCAATCTAAACAATGTCATACCAGTGATCCCGAGAAAAAGCCGTGCGATAAGAAGCCCATAATAGCTTGTGACGACGCCCGTCAAAGTCTTCAGACTGTTAGACAGCTACGCTGTGAGGCCATGTTGCGACTAACCATGACAACTCCCCAAGCTACCATAATTGTAGGTATCCATATGGATGGGCGGATCTTCTTCAAGATCAGATTGGACGGAAGCTCAAAGACCGTATACGTGAAGAAGAACACCGTGACTAGAACGTTAGATTATAGCCAGGCGATCAGGGATTAGCACATACGAGCCCAGTTGTACTGTGAACCCACTAGATGGAGGTCCTCCTCCATACCCTCAATCCTGGCATTGCCGATGTTCCCTCGATCCAGAAAGCAAAACAGATAGAGGAGAGTCAGGACAGGCATGAGATGCCAATCCATCTTGCGCAGAAGCCTCTGCTCGCTGACGGGATCCCATTCTGTCTCTTGTCTCTGCCTCGTGTCGCGACATGTGGTGCTTGGTACGTGAAAGCTCAAGGGCTTCTGTTCCATTGTCACGAGCAGACTCTTTGTCTGCACGGCAAAAGAGATGGGCACGAAGAGAGTAGTGGTCCCCAGGTGATCCAAGCTTTCGAACGGGGAACGCCTAGCGGTCAGCGCGGTTGCTTGCTTGACGAGGTGCAACGTTCCTCAAGCGTTACGCAAGGGTTGCTGAGGAATGCGGGCGGCGCAGGTGGCTGTCAGAACCTCTATTTGCTGGCAATCAGTACCGTGCCCTCGAGCAGTAAGACCTGGAATTCGAGCAAGTGGTTGGACTATTGGAGATGATTGTGGTGTAGACATACTTGTAGCTCATGATGAACTATGGGTTAAGGTGACATGTTCATGACAAGCAGGCCGGGATCAGAACATGGCTTGGCCGATACAGCAGGCAAAATGGGGTTGTGCTGTCAGTCACCTAGCCGGCCGGCCGGCCGGCCAGCAGTGATGAAGCGCATTGCCGCCATTTATTGATGGATGGTGACCAGCAGCGGGACCACTCATCCAGCAATAGACATCTTCTGGTATTTTGAGGCTCTGGATGGTTTTGCATCTAGCACCAATTATTTGCTAAGAGACATTGCTGGTGGTTGAACAATGGACAGGGGCGTGTTCCAATCAGTGGCGGTGAGATTGCGGTTATTGCATCAGAAGGGAGGGATCGATCGCCCTTGCAGATCACAGGGTCTTGGGGAAGTGCTGCATAGCAAGGTCATAAGCCGGGCTTAGTCAGTGAGTGGCTTTGTGTGTATAACTATGAGTTGGAGACTCCGGGCCCGGGAGCAGAGATATTCCGCACTCTGACCTATCCAAGTCGCAAAGATCGACAAGCCGCGCATCATGAGATTTGAGGAGTCATAGCAGCCGGGCCTAATCAGGAAACTAAGGATGCGTGCAGTGGCCAGGAGTACAGTACACAAGATCTGGCAATCCTGAAAACTTGATAAAGTAACTTATAATAGAGTTCTAATACTTCATGCTCAGCTTGCCTGGATCGAAGAAGCGAATATCACGGGCAGAAAAGCCCACGGCAGCCTCCAAGAGAACAGGATGGGGGCTACGGTACTTAAGTACTTTACGTAGTTAAAACGTAGGTATGACTTGAGGCTGCTCAACCTACTGAGTACTTTAAAATAGTTCGAATACTCCGTACTCCGTATTTCATCTTTTCATGCATCAAAGCCGAATCCCTGTCGAGCGGGGGGGGAGATGAAGCGATGACTGAATGGCCGGTCGCACAAGTCACATATGGGTATGGGTGAGAAAACAGGTTTGATGCCTGAGATAACAGGCAGCGATAACACCCACTGCATCAGAATGGGAAGGCGTGACAAGGCGCGAACAGCAGGCGACCAATCAGTACGCGTCTTCGGTCTGAAACTTTTCCGTCTGGTGACTCGGGACACTCGGGGTAAGGCAATCCCAGCCTAGTTCGCTCTCCATCCATTCCACCTGGCTGAATCTATAGGTCCATGCCCTTGTCCGTACCTAAGGATCTCTTTCACCTAGTACTAATGAGGTCGCTGAAATCTCAGTACGGAGTAGGTTGTGAAACAAATGTGAGAGGTTTGACCGCAACAACCTTCTCCCCGTCCCTTTTATCCTCCTCCCCCCTCTCTCCGACCACCCCGATCTCCCCAATGGGCACCACCAAAAACCTTTCCAGTTGAAAACGATAAGATAAATATTCTGGGTGCCCCACATCCTCCTCCCTCGGGTTGAGTCCAACATGGAAGTATCTTCCCTTCCACAAAACTCTTCCAGCCGCCTCCTCAACACCCCCTCGCTCCCTCACGATCATACTGACAACCCACCGATTACCAATTGGATTTCTCCGATCGTACCGATCATGACTGTCTAAAGTCGATCGGGACTTCATCGTCAACTCGAAGACCTTGGACATGCGCACCAAGAGGGGCCCTATCCCCGCTCTCACTGGGCCCTCTGGCCAACCAGCTGGGGCGTCCGATCGAGTTTCCCGGGCCAAAGTCCTGATCCCGCGAGATCGGTCCCGGATCGTACTATCGAGCTCCCGCATACGCACCTCACGTGCCTGCGATCCGTGTAGACAACGCAAAGCTAAGTGCAATGGTGGCAAGCCAACTTGTATCCAGTGCGATGGCTTGGCCATCGAGTGCACCTATTCCGAACAGAAACGCACCCTCGAGCAGAAAGAGCTCACCCTGTTGCGGAGCACCATCCGACGCCATGAACGAATGATCCAGCTCATCTCCGCTCGACCCACAAACCAGGACGATGATACTACAGATCAGGACCCCACGGACTCAACCCCCTCGCAAGGGGAAACCATGGAGGTAAGTCTTTCATATCGTGTGGCTTGACTTCGGTCGTCACTGACCATGAGGGTGGTGGTGTGCTGAACCAGTGTGAACACAGATAGCCCCAGTGGCTCCACCCTCTCAGGAGGAGGAGCCCCCATCCGTGGAGCTTCATTACCCTGAAAGCTTAGACCAAGCCCTAGGAGTGCTTCAGGGGCAGCTCCGGGACCTGCATCAGATCTACCAAGTGGTTCACGATTGTGATCCGGCAGTCCTGCCCTCAGTGGTGGAGACCATCCGGCGGAGCGCATCCGTTCACGATGCGGCCATGCATCTCGACCAGCAGGTGTCAACGCAACGGCCCGGAGTCACCCTTGGCAGAGTGCAGCGGGCCTGGCTGAGTCGACTTTCTGGTAAAGCGGAGCTGGTGTGTCGACATCCCCCGTACACGGTCACGGCGGCGGAGAAGTGGACATCGGTCGTCGATAGTGCGGTGGCCTCGCATCTATTCTCCCTCTTCTTCGTCTGGGATAATCCTACCTGGCATCTAATCGAGCCAAGTGTGTTCCTCGCCGACTTTCAATCCGGAAGGACACAGTTTTGCTCCTCGTTGCTGGTGCACGCCATCCTCTTTTTTGCGTGTGTATGTATTGCTACCCCTCGGTTAGCCTTTTCTGACCCAAGTAGCACTATTCATACGACCTGGAGAAGCCATGGGATAGGAGGGAGGAAATGTCCGTTGCCAAGAGACTGTTCCGCGAGATTGGTCGTCTCTGGCAGCGGGACAAGGATAATTTATGTCTAACCACTGTTCAAGCCAGCTTAATTCTAGGGCTGTTTTTCAACGCGTCCGGAAAGGATAAAATCGGGACGCAATACATCTACTATGGTGGCCAAATGGCGTTGCAGCTGGGGCTGCATCTTCCTTCGTCGGCCGTCTTCCACAGCGACTCGATGGCGGAAGCGAAGCGAAATCACTGGGCACATAAGCTTATTGCCTGCGGGATATACGATGTCCAGTCGTCAGTGATTATCCTCCAGCATGACGCTGTATACAAGGTGCTGATGCCCGATAGAATAACAATGCAACTGGGGCGCAAACCATCGCCCTGGAAAGCACCCCCCGAGAATTACCTCTCGCAGGAAGAAGCATTGTTTTCAGATGTCAATCAACAATGGGCGCCTTATCCGTTCACATATCCGACGTTCAAGCCCTATGCGAACACAGGGGTCTTCGTCCGCCGCAACCTCCTCATCCTTATCAACGATATTTCGAGTTTCGAGGCGCAGATGCCTCACCGCGTCGATCTTCCTAGCTGGCAACAAGGCACTCTGATCCACGAGAAGTTAGTCACATTTGAAAGGACTTTGCCGATCGTGCTTGGGATAGGAAGGAACAAAACCCCCCACAATTTATGCCTTCAGTATGTGGCCTAATCGTTCCAAGCCTGCACATCACTGACTTCTGCAGTCTATATTATCACATGGCTGTGGTCAATCTCTGTGGGCTGTTCAATTCCCGAGAAGCCACCACGACCAAGGAAACCATTATTGCTGTAACAAAATTCGACCCGCAGCAAGTCTTAGAAGATGCCATGGATGCTATGGCAACGATCATCTTAATGTACCGTGTTTGCCACGGGTGGAAATCAATACCAGTGGTCATGGTCCACTACTTTTTTGTTATTGGGCTCCATGCTGCGTCCAATCTGCGATCTTCAAAGTGGCGCGAAGTACTAGTAAGCTGCGTGTCAGGTCTTTGGCACATGGGTCTAGCGTGGCGAATATGTCGACCGTTTCTGCGCACGATCCAGTTGGTGTTGAGCACTGGCGCCGACGAAACGTTGATTCCCGTCGAGGCGCAGTCCATCTTGCGGGAATTTAACGAAAAGCTGTGGACCCAGCAAGACATCCAATCGGTCTCCGCTAATTACGTCGTTCATCATCATCATCCGACGAGGGATGGACTTAAGGGCGGCGCCTTCCAAGGAGAAACTTTGGAGAACCTGATCCGAGCCTTCGATCGGCTCAGCACAGCGGATGATCAGGCAAGCGTGGCCGCAGCCTGACACAGTATATGACGACTTTCGGATACGCCCCACTAGATACACGGGTGGCCTACTTCATTTCTTTTTTGCGTTGTTGTTTTTGTTTGCTTCATGTCAGACACGATGCATGATCATGAATGAGCGATGAGAATACACGACTCACGCCATCATCACATATTACTCGCCGAGAACGGTTATCGATAGAACACGAAATCATACACGCCTTCAGCATTCTGAGAGGTCTGCCAAAGTGCCATTGGTGGGCAGGCTACAGCTCGTTGGATTCATCTGGCCGTCAAGCTAGCTTGGCAGGCGGTGTTCCAGGACCCATGCGCGTTGGCACAGTAGAACCAGTAGCCACCGCCGAAACCATATTATCTTATTGACTAACGATCGATAGTGGAACCCTCAGCTGTTCGTGTCAACAACCACCAGCTCTTCCTCAGCTCGCCTTGTCCATTCCATCCAACTACCATCATATAACCTTCTAGGGCCCTTCGCGCCGATTTCCGAGAGTGCTAGATCCAGTGCAGCGGCAGTCACGCCGGAGTTACAGGTCAGAATCCACGACCGTGGGACCTCTTTCACGACGGACAATCCTGCCTCCTCAAAGATGTCCTTGAGTGAGCCAGCGGGCAGTATCACCTTGGACGTCTCATCCAATAGCCTTGCCAGAGGCACATTGACTGCGCCAGGGATATGTCCCGACCGCAAGCTGGTGTCCTCCTCACTCTGCTTCCCGCTGAATCGACCCGCGATTCTCGCATCCACAATCTTAACCTCTTCGTCCCCCACTAACCCCTTAACCTCCTCATATAAGATCACTCTATCAGGATCCGGGATCGTCGCGACGGGATACGCATCCCCCGGCTCTCCTGGGATTCCACCCCCTTTCGAGATCTCCCCCGAGCTCACCGGGTATCCCAAATCCACATACACGCGGAAGTTGTTCAGAACATGCACCGCTTCGTGGCCGAAGAACGAGCACATCCATGCCACGCGCGGCGCGCTATAGGTCCCGATCTCGTATGCGTCGTACACGACCAAGATGTCGGCGGGCCGGATGTCGAGGGCTGTCATGGCGGCGGCAAAGGCTTCGGCGGTAGGGAGCATGAGGGGGTAGGGGGAGGTAGCATTGCGGATGATGGACTGGTCAAAGAATCTGCGTTTGTGGCATGACGAGTTGGTACGGTGTACGAATGTGGACGGGGGTAGTGGGTGAGGGTGGCACAGGTCCAACGTGCCCGAGAAGGGCACAAGCATCGATCATGTAGATAGAGAGGTAGAGAATAGGTAGATATGTGTATCTAGTAAATGCCAAAGTGCAAGTTCTTCATCTTCTGTTCTGGGTGGTGGAGGAGGGTTGGGTTCGTACTTCGTGCCAGGGAGGTGGTGCGCTTCGAACGCCGGAAGAAGCGCCGGCCGCCCTGCTGCCAAGGGGATGATCCTCCTCGCCGTCTTGGTTGTGGTGACTACATTGTGGTATTCTGCGGGTGTGATGAGGTAGGAGGGGAAGGGGTCTGTCATCTCATTCGACTTTGTGGGAGATTGGATCAGTACGCAGTGAGGTTTTTGGGGGCCCGCGCGTGATCACGGAGTAACTTGGAGCTCAACTTGTCGGAAGGTAATGCCGGAGCGGACGGACCAGTCTGGGCCCGCGGCCTGCGTCCTTCTCCTTCGGGGCGGGATTGTGGGTACTACCCACAAATAATTAATCAGCCTGCATAACTCTGCTTAGTGCACTGCATATTGTGCTTGGTTCTGCTTTTGTCGGGTTGATTATTTGGTTGGGGGTTTTTGCTTTGGGTTGTTTTGGAGGATGCTTTAGAGTTTGGTGCTGTTATTTACTGTTGAACTAGGTTGTTCTGGACAGGCTTGGCTGCTTCAAGCAGGTTACTTTCTAGGTCAGTTTCAGTGAAGATTTGTGTTGTGTGCCAGGCAAGAATAGACGCCTCCGCCCCAGCTTGATCGATGAGAATGAGTATAGGGATAGGTTCTGGAGAGTGCAGGCATGGCCAAGGCCTGACATTAGTCCAACACAGGGGGTGATAGAGGAGAATATTTTCTTTTCTGAGAAACAGAATATGTATTGCTATATTGGGAAAATCTGGTGAGTTAGTGAAGTGAATATCTGCGCTGTAGTAGCCTCTGAATATACAATCTGACATCAGGTCTTTTTCTCTCACTTCATCTGCCTTTTTCTTTCCTCTTTGAATCCCCATCTCTTTAACTCTTCATCTTGTCTACAGGCACGGTTGTTTCATGAATAATACTAAGATCGTCTGTCTTGGGTCATTTTCAAGTATTACTGAGACTATCGATCTTCAACTGATCTAAGAAACATACTGAGATCATCAATTTTGATCTTTTCTTAATGTGTTGCTGAGATCATTGATTCTGAACTATTTATGAAGTCTCACTGAGACCATCGATCTTACACTTGCTTTAGCTTGTTATCTTGAGTAGGTACGCGTTCTTCATTCCACTTTATCCCAAAGAGAACACTTTTGTTACCTTATGAGACAATTAACTGCAGTTTCCTTGTTGTGAAGAAATTTACTAACGCGTTACTGCGCGTCTGTGAGCTTGATAAGGCAGAAGCAAAAGCAGAGGACTTCTGTGCAAGTTCTTCTTTGCTTATTCGGCAATCGATCGATTCGAACATATTCTCGCCACCACAACTGGGTGCAGCAGAAACCCTCAAAATGTTGACACCTTATGCAGCAACCATAGATGGATTGCCTCATGATGCCCTGGGACGGATCATATTGCCAGGATCCAGTGAGGAAGATACCGAGATGGATGAGTTGGATGAGGTCAACAAGCTCGATGAGACAAACAAGCTCGATGAGACAAACAAGCTCGACGAGATCAACAAGCTCAATGAGTCGAACAACATATCAAGTCACTTTGCCAGGCTACCCAACGAGATATGGGACATGGTAAGCATCTACCTGCAGAAGCCCCTAGCCATCTAAGCTAATGTGTGTTCTAGATCGCTTCGTACTTCGTCGAAGACATCGAGGAAGAGCTCTTCGGGCCAACGGTCCGACTCCTAGATAAAGGCATGGACAAGGCTAGTGCCCGGAAACTGCGAGAGCTGCGAGCCTTGAACAAAAGCTTTTATATGCGGATCTCGCCTCTTTTTGCTCGACACATCCAGATCAACCCAGCACGCGCCGGGGTTCCCCGACCATTTCCGCTGCTTGTCTATCTGACCAACAGCGACTACAACACCCATGTCCTCCGGGCCGACATCGCAACCACAATCGGCCTGTCCAGCGGTGTGATGCCCTGCCTGCGCAAATTACCCAACGTCAGAGCTCTGAACTACGACTACCAAGTCCGCGAGTCCCTGAACCCCGGAGAAATGATCTATATCTGCAACATCATTATGCGCACGCTCTACGAACTGCCGCTTCTGTACCTGACCGAGCTCCGCATCAGTTTCCCCGTCGTCGAAGATAACACGGGCTTTTTCCCTCTTGCGTTCTCCATGGCCCACGGAGACGTATCGCACGTTCTCCCGCGTCTCACCAACCTGGAGGTGTCGATCCCAACTTACCGCTTCCACGAAATTCCCATGCCAGCGGGTGCCCTGGTCATGAACCGTAGCTTCTCGGCCTGGATGTTCTGGCTCGTTCACTGCTCGACGAACCTGCAGTGCCTGACCATCCGATCCTCCGGCGGGGTGCTGGACCTCGACTGGGCAGACCTCGAGCACCTGACCAAGCTCCGCGTGCTCAGGCTGGAAGGCGTATGCCTGTCGGCCGCGACGTTCGGGCGGATCCTCAGCCTGTCCTATCAGACACTCCACACCGTCGAGTTGAAGGGCGTCGCGCTGCACAGCTGCACCTGGGAGCGGGTCCTGTGGACGTTGGTGCAGCTCCCCGGCCTGCTGAACTTCAGGATCCTCGATTGCGTGTACTCGGCCCAGGGCGCGAGTCGACACCGCGATCCCCCTGTGCTGACGCCGCATGGCCCCGAGGTGAGCGAGACCGAGGCGGCGTATGCGCTCCGCGCGCTGATGTGTCGGGTCAATGCGAACCGGCTGGGCCTGGGCATGGAGCGCATTGTTCTCTGGGAGATTTTCTAATTTGCCTGCGGAAAGCCTGTCCTTCTGTTGTGGTGTTTCGGGCTTGATTGTGTTTCTGGATTTACGCCGCTGGTTTGGGACGGTGCTGACGGAGTTTTCGACAACTTTTCCATTTATTTGGGCATATGAGAGTGGATTAGGGAGACTGTGAAATAGTGCAACCGGTTGAAATTGGCCTTTAAAAATGTTTGTTAAATCTGGTCTAGTCTGAATCAAATGTTTTACAGGTACTTGCTAGGTACTGTTGCTATATTGCCTGTTCAGTGATTCTGTTCCATCGGAGGAACATCCGCTCAGTAAGGCAAGTCCGACTGATGTCGACGGTGCCTGGGAACCGTCCCATCTAAGGTAAGGCCAGCCATTTCAGAAGTCACTCTGCTCAGTACGATCGCCCACAATCTCCTTGTTTCCACCAGTATCTCTTTTCAACCATGTAGGTACTCTATTCAGATCAACGAAGCACCAATACCAGTATTCTTTCATAAAGTCGCGACTGCAAGCTGTATTTGCTCGCCAAAATCAGGTCACAAGTCTGGAAAGTCGCTCATACACTTCGCGGATGTCACCTGTAAGGCGATATTGTATTTCTGAGACCGAGATGCTAAGGAGCATAATTCTAGACCTAGGTTGGGCTGAACCTGTTTATGACGCTACACGTCTATTTCGGTGCGATACTGTGACCCTCAAGCCGGGCAGCTTGCGCAGGAACAATTGCACTCATGCTGGTTAAACACGAGTCGAGCCTGAACATCCAATGCCAAGCACATCGGCTGGGCTTCTAAACGATTCTCTAGCCAAGATAATGTCTACTCGTTAGCTCACTCGGTTCTCGGCTCATGCTGCAGGAGTCTTCTCGAAGTGATGTTGGTTGTTTACAGCCTTATGTCATGGACCCGGACGAGACGGCGATCTTTATCCGTTCGGAGAATGCCCAGACGCCGGCAGAACTTGGCGAGTCCGGAACGGTCCACCAATTTGTCGGTGACAAGCTTCCTGTCCGATGACATAGCGACCGAAGGGAGAGCACCATGAACTCCCACTTTCTGCCTCTGAGCATGCATGATTGATGACTTGTCGGCCAAAGCGACTCAGCCACGACATGGCTGGCGGGCTAAATTTATCGCTCCGCCGCTCCTGCAGCGATTTACCTTCTCCCCGACTCAGTGCTAAATTCTTGCCGGGGCGACCCTTAAAGCCGCATCGCGGCGCGGATTGGCCGGATGGGCTCCACCTGGGCCCTGGCGCATCTCCAAGGATGTCCGGCAGATCGGTGACGTATGGAGCTGGCCCATGACTGCATCGTCGCTTGGATCTGGAGATACTTTGGTGCCTGGCCATGATGTAATAGGTAAAATACTCTGTGCTACTATTTTTTCTGCCATAATGATTGCAGTAACCAGGAAACCTATATAGGTTGCTGACCCTCTCACTCAATTAATGTGCAGTGCAGCAGCAACCATCCCGCAGTACGAATATTCAGCCCTACTCGGGCTATCCGACCCCGTCCACCATGAAGTCCTTCACCGTCCTCGCGCTCAGCACCCTCGCTACAACCACGACCGGAATCGGTTTCAACCCTTTGCACCATCTGGCTGGTATCACACCATACTATGCCCCTCAGGACCCTCCCATTGACCCCAAGCCACACCCGGGCTGCAATGTGACCCGCGCCGCATACCTGGTGCGCCACGCCGCCATCTACGCCAACGACTTCGACTACGAGTCGTACATCGAGCCCTTCGTCGAGAAGCTGCGGAACACCACCCAGGACTGGCAATCGACCGGCGCGCTCTCCTTCCTCCGCAACTGGACTGCCCCCATCGACGAGGAGCACCTGGAGAAGATCACCCGCGTCGGCCTGCAGGAAGCGACCACCCTGGGCCGGAAACTGCACCAGCACTACCCCACTCTCCGCGCCGACAAGGTGTGGACCTCGACCGCCGACCGCACCGTCAAGTCCGCCGAGGGGTTCATCAACGGCTACACGAACAACCAGTCCGCCGCCCTGGATCTCGTCCAGGTGGCCGAGTCCAAGTCGACGGGTGCGGACTCTCTGACTCCATACAAGGCCTGCCCGGCCTACAGCTCCAGCTACGGCAGCGACCAGTCGAAGGTTTGTTCCCGCCATCCCTTCTCACACCACCACCCACCTCCGGCCCAGCTAACCAACACTGGTACAGGAATTCATCGACCACTACACAACCCCGATCATCGCGCGGCTCGACACGCTGGCCCCGAAGTTCAACTTCACGGCCGATGACGTGACGGCCATGTTCGAGCTGTGCGGCTACGAGACGGTAATCCGGGGGTTCTCGCCGTTCTGCTCGCTGGCGCTGTTCACCTCGGCCGAGTGGCTGGCCTTCGAGTACGCCAACGACATCATGTACTTCTACAACACGGGGTACGGCCGCCCGCTGAGCCCGCACATCGGGCTCCCCTGGGCCAAGGCCAGCTGGGCCATGGTCTCCGGCAACACCAACACCAGCGACACGCTGTATGTCTCGTTCACCCACCGCGAGCTCCCGCCCACGGTCGTCACGGCGCTGGGCCTGTTCAATAACAGTGCTTTCACCGGCGCGGATGACCTCAACACCACCATGCCCCTCGACCAGGTCAACTACAACCGCGCCTGGAGGAGTAGCCACATCCTTCCGTTCCTGGGCAACATCGCCATCGAGCGGTTGGAGTGTGATGTCCCCGGTTACGAAAGCCCGGAGTACTATCGCGTCTTGGTGAACTCGGCGCCGCAGCCGCTGGTAGGCTGTCGCGATGGTCCGGGTGAGAGCTGCTCCCGCGAGGGGTTCAGCAAGTTCATGCAGGAGAGAGAGGAGCTGTACGGTGACTTTGGAGGGGCCTGTGGGAATGGGTCGGCTATTGATACCTTGAGCATTTATAATTAGTTTGGACGGGGTTGAGGGTGTTGGGCTTTATGAGTAACGATTGATAGTTATAATATACATATTGTTTCCTTTCACTTTCGCAAACCACTTCGCCTCATTCACACCTGTGAGGATATCATATGATATCATATGTACGAAAATACTATCTAGGCGGATCGAATCTCATCATATAAGATCGAGGTTAATGTTGTCGATGCTCCTGATCAGTTCAACCAAGCCTTGCAGCGGGCAATCAAAGTAGAGAGTCAGCCATTCCGCCACCAAAAGACCTTTGCGTCTCTGCGAAAAGTAGACCTGTGACAGGCCCGTCGTTCTCGCAGTCTATCTTGACTGGGTTGGTGCATGCAGGGACCCGATTGAAACCCGGAATCATCCTGTCCGTTGAAACAATCTCCGAAGATGATGTTCACAATAAGTCCACTTTGGTTTCCGGAATCTTCAGCTTTAGCAAGCTGGGGTATATTACGTTGTGCTGTGCTGTGCCGACACACGTGTATTGAAGGGTAGCCAATGACCGAGGGTGATCCGATGAGAAGTGTGTGCACAAAATGAGAGTGCTAGATTGGCAGCATCATGAACCGTCTACTAGAGACGTTAGCCAGTGAACCTGATGCAGACATGCCACGCAATTCTTACAGGTATTGAGAGCTCCGTGTCAACTCATCAACTCAAATGACCTCTGGGCTGTAGCACGCGTCGAACACGAGCTTTATTGCGTACAAGGCGCCCCATACCTCCTCCATCTGATAGGAACCAGTGTCGTCCTCAGTTCTGACCAGGATCAGAATCAGGTTCCTGCTCTCTCCTTGCCCCTTCCCCCCCCCCCGAAATCTGAGCAGTCTATTCGCGCGAGACATGGGGCGCGGCCTGGTCAACACGTAGCATGGGGGGAAGAACCTAGACACGAACCGATTAATCGTCTCCTCAACACAGCAGACCACAATCCAAGGTCACAATGACATGCAGCCAGCATGACTTACCTTGTCTATAAGACGGATCATTAAACGCCCACCGGCGCACAGCCCACCTGGGGCCGGGGAAGGCCCCACCCCTGAGAAATGTGAGATTGCTGTTGAAAATCCAACGGGAGCAAGGTGAAGACTTACAGTGGGAAGAAGGTCTGAAGATTCCCGTTCTTTTGAAGGAAGTTTCGGAATGAATACAGGAATCCAAGGATAACCTTGGAAGGAAGAGATCGAGGGTGGACTCTGCATAGAACTAGTGGGGATTGAAGTTTTGCTGTGAGTCTGTTGGGGACGAGGTTCTGTGGATTGGGTCGATGACTGGAGGGGAAGGTACATGCTGAGGTACTTAGTGAATGGCCGGTCTACTTGGACGTACTTTGGGGCGTTTAATCTGTTTGGTGTGCTTGCTAGTAGGTACCTCTCTTTCCATCGGTCCTTACCTATGAATACCTATACTTGCCTTCTGCACTCGCCTCGCGCTATCCTTCTTGGTACTGTCGCACGCTGCATGCGTTCAACGTGACGATGCCTTGCTACTCGGAATGCACTTTCAAGACGTAAACCTACAGCAAAGCCAATTCAGCATTATCACTAATCCAACCTGTGATCTTATCACTAAGTCTACATGCAGTGCACAGCCCAGTTGGACGACCCTTATAATCAGACCCCTACCCACGGGACAGCCCATGGGCTAGACGCCTTTTGCGACCGCGGTCCCTGACAAAGAGCCTCAAGAACCGCAAGCCGGTCATTGATTCTATCCATCGGTCTACGCAGGGACCAATCGCATACTTGATTTGGCCCCATTTACATCCTTCGGATGGGGCCTGCCCGTCAATTTGGGGGCTAATTGTCTGAGGTTCGCGGGATCTGAGTAAGACCAACAACAAGCAACGCCAGTGTGAGTTTCAGAATGCGACAGACACATGTCATTGACTTGCAAGGCAGAGTCGGGTCCTCAGTTTTATCATTGTCATGGGCCTTCCTGTTGTAAATATCGCTGTCTCCGGGTCCGCGCCGCGCATCGCTCGCAACTCAAACTTCCAGGTCGATTGACCTACATCGTACCTATACAGCGGGTTTACACAAACTAGAAATCGATGATAACATGAGTTCATCCAGCGCGGATGGCTCATACGAGCTTTACAACTACAATCCTTCCGTCGCTGCCGCCGCCATTTTCGTTCTACTCTTCATTGCCGTAACCGCCTGCCATGTCTACCAATTGGCCCGAGCGCACGCGTGGTATTTCACCTG